CGCACTGAGGCTGCCCTGGCCAAGGGAAGGACACATTCCTGTGGAGCCAGAGAGAGCCAGGCAGCACCCCACTCTGCGAACAGCGGTGGTTTCTGTGGGAACTGGAGGCCTCTGTGGAGAAAGCAAAGATTTTTGTCCAGAAAACAATGTCAGACACACCCGGTTAGGAATGCGATGAGATCATCTTCAGAAGCAGGTTGAAGCCCTGACAATCTGCTGGGCTGACATGGAGGGAAGAAGGGAGGGCCTGGGGCATTGTCCAGGGTAACAAGGGGCACTGACAACAGAGACCATTTCTGTTGTCAGGAAGTACCTGAGCTAGGGGCCTGGAGACCTGGAGAGCAGGAGAAGCAGCGGCTGAAAAGGGACAGGGGGCAGAGAAAACACCCAGGGGACGGGCTTCCTTAGCTTCACCAGGAGCAGCTTTCATTCAGATGTCACTAATGGGCTGAGTCTCCAGCCTGGGAGAACCTCTGGGGACAGGGTTTGTCACTGAGAGGAGGCAGTGTCCTGGACCTGAGAATTTAGGGGCAGGAGGAAGTGGCAGCAATAGCAGCAGCAGCAGCAGCCACTGGGCCAGGATAAAGAGCTGGCACCTCTGCGGATGCAGAAATGGAGAGGAGGGGCACCTGGGACCCAAGTGGGAGCACTCAGGCCCCACACCAATGTCCCCTTCTGGGAGGTGGCCCATCAGTCAGCAGGACTCCTGGCCCCCCTGCCCTCCCTTCTTCCTGGGGAGACTCTGAGGCTGGAGTTCTGTGAAGGTGAGTCTGCTCCTTGGTGGGTCTCCATGGGCTCATCCTGCTGGAGGGGCCAGGGCTCTGTGCTCCTCTGAGCTCCAGTGCACAGGGACAGCGGTCTGGGTGTGGGGAATGTGTGTGATTAATATATGTGAGCAGCCTGGGGACCTGAGGCTAAGCCCCATTCTGGGGTTCAGACTTAGGAATTCTATTTTGGCACCATCTAAACCGTGTCCCCTAATCCCGCTTTTATCAGGAAGAAAGCTAATTTTTGTAAAAATATATTTTTATTGATTTTAGAGAGGAAGGGAGAGATAGAAACATCAATGATGAGAGAGAATCATTGATTGGCTGTCTCCTGCATGCCCCCTCCTGGGGATGGAGCCTGCAACCCGGGCAGTGCCCTGACTGGAAACCAAACCAGGGACCTCTTGGTTCCTTGGTCGACGCTCAACCACTGAGCCAGGCTGGCCAGGTAAGAAAACTGATATTTTTTAACCCCATTTCTGTCTCACTTTTTGCCTGTCAGTTGGTTTGGAACTCAAGTAAAGGAAACTTGGGGAGAGTTTACACACAGAATTTGTGGTTCTTCCCGTGATTTTCTTCTTCCTGAAATTTTCCTCCCCAAAAAGCCTGGGAACCCTTGCCTTCTTCCCTGGCTCAGGTGACCAGAAAGAAAGTGGACTTTCTTACCAAATTTTTACCATCTCATGCAAGCCTGTGGCGGCTCACCCAGCTGGGTGATAATAAACAAGAAATACCTTGTACTGGCTGCTTCTGAGATGGGACTTCCCTCCGCAGTGGGCTGCCTTTGTTCATGGTCCAGAAGCCTCAGCCAGCTGTTCTCTGAATATTATCCTCACAGGGATGTCTACCCACCCAGTTTACACAGAGGGAACAGGAGAATCCCTGGCCCGTCCGTCCAGACAGAAGGCACTTCTCTCCAGCAAAGCAGAGCAGGACATGTGCTGATGCCCAGAGAAGCCACTCTAGGAGGTTCAGGCTAAAGGGTGGCTACCCAGAGCCCCTGGTCCTTGGGAGCTCCAGGTCCTCCTGCAGCCACACTGTCCCAGGTAAGACCACAGCTGAGCTCCCTAGCATCATAGGAAGCAGCTGATATCTGAGTCCAGGTAAATGGGACTGAGCAAATGACAGGCTTAGTAGCCTTCCTTGCCCTAGGCCATCTAGTGGACTGGGGTGGAAACCCTACCTACTAGCATGATGACCAACTCAGTCTTTATCTCCATAGCACAGGACAACAGGACCACAGTTCTGTTAAGGAATCCCCAGGCTCTGTTGTCCCTCTGACTGGCCTGAGACTGCCCCATCCTTCCTGTTAGGCTTCTAGGTTCACCTCTGAGGGTCCTCTAGATAGGTTCTGTCGATCAGGCATGTTTTCCTTGGCCATCCAACCTCCTCCCCTTCCCTAACAGCACCCAGTTTTCTTTTAGCAGATGGCTTCTTCCTGTGGTGTGCACCAGTGGAGGGACTGTTCATCATGATATTGGCCCTTGAGTCAGCCAGGGAAGCCAGGCTCTCTTTGAGGAGATGGACTTTGATAAAGTTCTTTAAGAAATTAAGAGAATAGTTGGAAACATTAATCAAAACTACAATGAGATACCTCCTCACATCTGTTAGAGTGGCCATTATCAATAAGACAAGCAAAATAAATGTTGGAGAGATGATGGGGAAAAAGGAACCCTCATTCACTGCTGGTGGGAATGTAGACTGGAGATTCCTCAAAAAATTAAAAATAGAGCTACCATACGATCCAGCAATCCCTTTCTTGGGTATCTACTTGAAAACCTCAAAATCTTGTATTCACAAAGATATATGCAACCCTGTGTTCATTGCAACATTATTCATGATGGCCAAGACACGGAAACAACCAAAGTGTCCTGTGATAGAGGACTGGATAAAGATGTGGTACACATACGCAATAGAATACTCCTCAGCCATAAGAAAGAATGAAGTAGTGCCATTTGCAACAACATGGATGGATCTTGAAAATATTATGCTTATCAGTGGTTCTCAACCTTCTGGCCCTTTAAATACAGTTCCTCATGTTGTGACCCAACCATAAAATTATTTTTGTTGCTACTTCATAACTGTAATGTTGCTACTGTTATGAATCATAATGTAAATATCTGGTATGCAGGATGGTCTTAGGCGACCCCTGCAAAAGGGTCGTTCAACCGCCAAAGGGGTCGCGACCCACAGGTTGAGAACCGCTGTGCTAAATGAAATAAGTCAGTCAGAAAAAGCTAAGAACCATATAATTTCGCTCATATGTGGGATATAAAACTGAAACTTATGAACACAAACTGCAATGTAGTGGTTGCCCAGAGGGAAGGGGGTGGGAGGAGAAGGAGGTCCTAACATATGGTAACAGAAGATTTGACTTTGGGTGGTAGGGACATGGTACAAGATAAAGATTTTATAACATACAAATCCACACCTGAAACCTATATGTTCATGTTGACCAATGTTATCCCAATAAATTTAATTTTTTAAAAAGGAATAGAAACCCTCTCCTCACCTAGCTGCCCCTCCCAGGACTTGCCTATTGGGTCATGCTGTGAGGATTCTGCATATTCTCTATTCAAGCAAGAAGCGAGGCTGGGTAGGGGGTCTGTTTTGCAACAAAGGGCAGGGGACTCTTTTGCATGTGAGTGGGTTCAGAGGTACCTGGAGTTCGGAGCTCTCCTGTACAACTTCTTAGAAATCCCAATTCTGAGCTTCAGGGCTTCACTCCTATATCAGGGCCCTGACTGGAATAGAGGCCCAACTGGGCTTAGAATTCAGTCTTCTCTGAAGTTCTGTCATTCTTAAAATTAGGGCCTGTTTCAGGCCTAGAACTATTGCCTTCCAGCTGCATGTATGAGGATCTCTTTGTTTTAGGTGGTGACTAATGGATTTAAGTCTATCATGTACTCTTTTCAATACATTCATCACACTTAGCAAAATCCACAGTTCTTTTCTTTTTAATGTTTTATTGATTTCAGAAGAAAGGAAAGGGAGATAGAGATGTAGAAACATTAATGATGAAAAAGAATCATCAATTGGCTTCCTCCTGCACAACCCCTACTGTGGATCCAGCCTGCAACCTGGGCATGTACCTGACCAGTAATCAAACTGTAACATCCTGGTTCGTGGTTCAATGCTCAACCACTGAGCCACACCGGCCAGACAAAATACACTCTTCTTATAGTTATTTTATTTTATTATTTTCTAAATTTTTACATATATCTCCTTTTTCCCCAATTGACCCTGCCTCCATCCCCTCCCAGCCATTCCCACCATGGGCAATCCCCCATCACCCCAGTGTCTGTGTCCATTGGTTATGCTAATATGCATGCATACAAGTCCTTTGGTTGCTGTCTAGCCCCCCTCCCCTATCATTTGTCTCTGGATCTATTCTTATTCATCAAATTATGTTGATCATTATATCCCACATATGAGTGAGATCATGTCATATTTATCTGTCTCCAACTGGCTTATTTCACTTAGCATAATGCTCTCCAGTTCCATCCATGCTGTTGTAAATGGAAAAGTTCCTTCTTTTTTATAGCGGCATAGTATTCCATTGTGTAGATGTACCACAGTTTTTAATCCATTCATCTGCTGATGGGCACTTAGGCTGTTTCCAAATCATAGCTATTGTAATTTGTGCTGCTATGAACAGAGAGGTACATATATCCTTATTGATTGGTGTTTCTGGTTTCTTGGGATATAGTCTTAGAAGTGGGATTACTGGGTCAAATGGGAGTTCCATTTTTAACTTTTTGAGGAAACTCCATACTGTCTTTCACAGTGGCTGCACTCCCACCAGCAGTGCAGGAGAGTTCCTTTTTCTCCACATCCTTGCAAGCACTTATAGTTTGTTGATTTGTTGATGATAGCCATTTTGACAGGTGTGAGATGGTATCTCATTGTTGTTTTGATTTGCATCTCTCGGATGATTAGTGACTTTGAGCATATTTTCATATGTCTCTGGGCCTTCTGTATGTCCTCTTTTGAAAAGTGTCTATTTAGATCCTTTGCCCATTTTTTATTGGATCATTTATCTTCCTTAAGTTGTATAAGTTCTCTGTAAATTTTGAAGATTAAACCCTTATCTGAAATATCTTTGGCAAATATGTTCTCCCATGCAGTGGACTTTCTTGTAGTTTTGTTGATAGTTTCTTTTGCTGTGAAGAAGCTTTTTATTTTTATGTAGTCCCATTTGTTTATTTTCTCCTTAGTCTCCATTGCCCTAGGAGCTGTGTCTGTAAAGATATTGCTACAACATATGTCTGCTATTTCGCTGCCTATGGAGTTTTATAGGATTTTTATGGTTTTCCATCTTACATTTAAGTCCTTCTTATAGTTATTATTATAAATAACATAGAACTGTACCAGCTGGCATACCTCTTTCCCTCTATATCATCCAGTTTCCTACAGATAAAATTTTGTCAGTGACACTGTTATAGAAACTACCAATATTCTTCCTGTTACCTTCTGGCTAGACAATGATTCAGCTCACAAATCCCACCCTTAGGGCCTCTTGCTAGGACTATTATGTTAAGTTCCCTAGAAGCAGAACCCAAAATGACGTCCCTTAAGTAAATGGTTTATTGTGATAATTATCTCAGATGGAGGAGTGGAGAGGAAAACAGGATTGCCTGATGAGAAAGCTAAGCAAGGACGTGGTCACAACTTGGAGTAGCTCCAACCTAATCCCAGTGGAACTAGACCCAAGGCCAAGGAGGTATAACTGTTGTTGTTGCAATTAGCTAGTTTGTCAATATTAATAATAGGAAGAGAGCAAAGGGGAGGCTAGACATTATAACCATTGTTATCTGGGCAGCTTCACTAGGAAGCTACAGCTTCATGCTCCCCAGGAAACCCCCAGTCCATTCCCTGCAGATTACGGGAGGAAGGGATAGAACAATGGGGGAGATGGGTGCATGCACAGTGAAGTCAGGGTGATGTAGGGAAGGTGCTTGCCTGCCATCTAGCCCAGGAAAAAGATCATTGGTTGGAAGGGTGGAGCCACGGCAAGTGCACAAAATCTTGGGAGGGTAAAATCCCCAGACAGGTCCTTCTCTATTGTTTACTTTTGTTCTCTCTTGCTCCATGTCCCACACTTGCCGTGCAACTATCTGTTTTCTCTCCATAGCCATGTGGCCTTAAGCAGCCACATGGCCATGGGCCATGACAACCCCTGGACTGGAGCTGAGAACACAAGCTAAACTAACCAGATGCTGGAATGGACTAGACTGTATTTTAATATGGAACAGAACTTACGTGCACTGGCCTTAAATCTAGCCATACTGAAGGCAAGATTGGACTTCTTGCATGGTGAGACAGATGAAGATGGGACCTTGGAGGGAAACCCTCTTAATTTTACATCAACAAACAAGCTTTCCATGAAACCCCATCCTCCCATGGGGGCCTCAGGAAATTCTTTTCCTCATGGCACCTCAAGAACTCCACTTCCACCAATATAACCTCCATGCAATGCTGGCTCCATTTATTGGGCTCAATGTAATATTCCTCAGGGGAGAGATGGATTGGCAGCCAACCCTCACAGCAATTTAGAGGATGAGGGGATTTTCCAGGGTCCCAACAGTATCCGCTATGCAAGTGAGCTGCTCTCATTTGTTTCCTGAATAGCAAACACTTCCTTGAAATTCTTCTCAAATTCTGCCTCCAGTCTAAGTCCCATTAGGCCAAAGTCATTGTACTGGAAAAAAGATAAACAACAACAAAAGTAATGCCACTCGTTACCAATGTTTAGAAACACTGCATTCAAGAATAACTTCCTTAAATGCCTAAGTTACATTAACCAGGTTAAAATAAAAAACTCTTGTGGCTAAGAGTAAATTCTGTGTTCCAAGTGCATAATTAATTCTTGTTAACTAGACAGAAATGGGAAATCATGACCACATGTGGGGACTCTCACTTTAGTTTGGGTTGTCAAATAATCCATGTTCTTTGTAACAATCAAATATTACAGATATCTAAGTACAATCTTCCTTTCATATTGTCACTTGTATTCCCCTCTGGTGATCCCTGTTAACTACAGGTCCATTCATATGTAAAGGACTCTGGAATTTGAGATTTCTAAGAGGTTTGATTGAGTATATTTGAGATAGATAAGAACAACATGACTTTAGGACTCAATCTTCTTCTCCTTGGGTTTGGAACAGGGAGGAAGAGACTCTTCTCACTGGACACTTGTTGCCTTTTCTGAGGAGGGTGAGCTCTCAGGAGCCTGGAGTCTGGTTGCAGGGACAACTACTTATTCACTGTTGTTCTCTCTGATGAGCTTAAATCCTCAATTTAAAAACCCACTCACTTCCTGAACCCTTGCTTATACAGGCTCATCATAAAAGGTGAGGGAAAATCTAAAATTTCCAGCACCAGGAAATGTGGGCAGAGTGACTTAATGGAAAGAAAATGAAATGGAAGCAGGGAGAGCCACTTACCTTATAAGATGCCCTGTGGTTCTGAAAGATGAGGCGCATGTCCTTCACAAACCCTTCCACTTGGGGGTAGCCCAGCTTAATTAGCCTCTTCTTGATCTTGTCCAACCACATGGGTTCCTTTAGATGTTGAGAAGTCTCTTTAATCTGGTGGGAGAAAATACCATTGAGATAATTACGGACACAATTCAAAATCTGCCTTCTGTAGATTCCCCTAAAGTCCAGCAGAAATACCAGGTAAAAATAATGGCAGCTCACACTATCCCCCCTGTGGGCTTCATATCACACATCCCACAAGAACCCATGTCAGGGTCAGGTAACACCAGGGCTGCCTGTAATTATGGTTTTTCGTTGTTGTTACTTACATAATAATAATATGGAATCTTCGAAAAAAACGTGCTCTCTGAATCGCAATAGACTTTCAAGAGAAGGAACTCACATTTCTACAAAAGAAGGAAGATGTAAATGAAAAGCAGCTTGGAGAGAGAGAACCAAGATGGCAGCATAGGTAAACTCTGATACTCGCCACCTCCCACAACCACATCAAAATTACAACTATGATACAGAACAACCATAATTGAGAACCACCTGAAAGCTGGCTGAATAGAAGTCCTACAACTGGAGAAATAAAGAAGAAAGCACATTTAGACTGATAAGAGGGGTAGAAGCACAGAACTGGCTGGTCCAACACCCATTGGTGGCATGTTTTTAATCAGGAAAAATATCTCAGCTGCAGAGGTGTTCTGTGAGGAGCAAGGGGGTCCCAGCCCCATAGCAGGATTCCAGTGCTGGGATGAGAAGTTTTGATAACTTCAGACTGTAAAAACAAGTGGGAATTATGGCTGAGTAACACACAGGATACTGGATACTCAGGCAGCTCCTCTTAAAGAACCAGGGCACAAACATACTCGGACTCATTCCTTTTAAGCTCCAGTACCAGGGACATATGGGAAAGAACCAGTTTGTCTGACACTGGAGCAAGAACTTGGGGGCAGCTTTCTCCCAGACAGGGGTGCTCACAGGGGTCATTGTTCCTATGCTGAGACCTCCCCCATTGAAGAACTGCTGGGCAGCCATATCTGATTATCCACCAACCTAGCTCATATTGTTTGCTCCACCCTGGTAATTCCTGAGACCCTGCCCCATTCAATTTGCAGCCCCACTCAAGCTGTTTGCAGCAGCTTTCTATATGAATGGCCTTTTTGGTTTAGGCTTCAGACTTAGCTAAAATTTATCAAAAAATAAATAAATAAATAACAGCGCTGGCATCAGTATGCCCCATACCTATCAATAAGAGGCCCTAGACAGCTTGGCTTTGTCTGGGCATTTCCAAGCACAATACAAGCAGCAGCCATGTGCAGATTACTCTGTAGTTCCTGCCAGGTGGCCATAGGCAGTGGCTGACTTTACACCTCCTGGAAGGCCCCAGAGCCAGTGCACTCAGTAGACAGCTTAATACCAGGCCAGATTACAACTTTACACATCCATGAGCAACACACTCAAGGGGTAAACTTAATAAAGTCCCACTGAAGCAAGTTCTGCTTTATAGGGGTATCTCCTGCACAGCAGCTCTTCCTCTGTAGTCACAGCTGGTCCTCACAGCCAATTGGCCTGAGGTCAACTCCTCCTAGTGATGTCAACAGCAATCAAGGCTCAACTACAACAAGACTGTGCCCATAGTGGATACACCTAGAGTGCCCAGCTCAGGTGACTGGGGAGGCTGAGCCACTGGGCCCTATAGGACACCTACTACACAAGGCCACTCTGCCAATTCCAGGAGACATATCAGCTCTACCTAATACATAGAAACAAGCATAGGGAAGCAGCCAAAATGTAGAGACAAAGAAACATGTCACAAATAAAAGAACAAAGAAATCTCCAGAAGAAAGAACTAAATGAAATGGAAGCAAGCATACTACTAGATACAGAATTTAAAACAATGGTTATAAGACCGCTTAAGGATCTTCTGGAAGTTTCCTCAAACAACTATTGCTCTCCAAGAATCATGCAATGGTGGAATTATTATTTTTCTGCAAACAAGGTCTGGTGAGAGGCACAGTCAGAAGAGCAGACACCCTTTGGCACCCCACCCCTCACCCAATGACTCTTGACTTCTCACATGTGAGCAGAAAGGAAAGGTCTTGGGGTTTAAATCTGACTCACCAGCTGCTCCTCGGGCCCCATCTGCCTCGCCAGGACCTCAGATTCCCTGAGACACTGCTGACTTCCTGAAGACTCCTTCATCCTGCAGAAGATGCAACTCCACGGGCTCCTGAGAGGTCAGGTATAAATGAGCAAGGCAAGACCTCAGAAACAGCCACCATGCCTACGGCTGCCACTGTTCCTCCTTTCAGGAATGACCAATGGACACAGCCAGCAAATGAAGGGGCTACTCCAAGACCCCCTAGGTGCGGTCTGAGCCAATAACCCTCCTCCCATCAAGGGAGCATCAGGGGGTAAGTGGGTGGAGGGTGGTGTCAGGGTGAGTGGTGAGCTCTCTTTCCCCATCTGAGCTTCTGGGAGCACAAAGAGCTCTGCCAACCAAGCCCAAATGGAGACTGGGCCTTAACCCATGGGGACCTTAGGCCTTCATCAGTCAGTTGAAAAGGTGGTGAAATAAGGGAACCTTTCCATGTTTCCTGATTTTTCTAAAAAAGCACAGAACACAAACAGCTGGCATTTTCACTCCTATAGACAGTATTCCATGCTGGGAAAGTTCTGGTAAAGGCAATTGGCAGTATTTAGGAAAAGCACCCAGCCACCAGCCTCAGCCTCCCAGAAAAGAGAGGGGAACAGTAGCCTTCAGTTGACAGCATCTTTAAACAGTTCCTGGGGTCATAATGCTGGATCCTGTACCTCTGACCCTGCTCTTTCCCATCAGAACACAAGGAGGAACTATGCTGAACATTGTGCATGGCAGGAGGAAGGGTCCCTAAAGGGAGATGGGGCTGCATCTCACAAACCTCTCAATGTCCACAGGTGGGAGGTGACAGTCCTCATGAAAGGATCTTGAACAAGTATCACAGCAGAATAGCTTTCCTCCATACCGGCAGATCTCACATACGTCTGAATTTCCTAGCTAGAAGGTAAAACAATGTTCATATCTCCAGTGAGACCCTAAAGACCAGCACTGTAGGTATCTAGCACTCATTGCCTTAGTGTGAATCTGCACAGACCCTTATGTGCTTCTCCCTGATTTGTGAAGGAACAGCATGGAGTGGAGGTTTCAGAAGAAAGAACTGTAATCTGCAGTGAAGTTCAGGAGGAAGGATCTGTGTGCCAGACCAGAAAAGCTTTTCCTATAAAACCAGAGATTCTAATACAGAAACACAGGCAACAAAACAAGGGGATGATTCATGGGATCTGAATCATTTAATTACCATTCAGATAAAACAAGTTCCTGAAATACTGTTAAGTCTATTTGCCTACACCACAATGACATAATATATTGGGTCGACAATGGAAAAGGATAACTTGAGAATTTGATAAGATGGAAAACGTTTCTTAATGCGGGAAGTAATCAAAGATGAAAAGACATTAATTCACAATTCTTTGAGTTGTTTTCTAGGCTTTTGGGTGAAAATATTTGTGTTGGCTGAATTGGGATCATAGCCATTTCTTTTGTTCTTAAAAATGGCCATATATGAGAAAGTGCTAGCCCCAAGGAATATCTTGCCAAGAGCTCCCATTAAGTGTTCTGGAGGGGGTGGGGGTCCTGACACATATCTCCAGTGAGCACTGAAATGCTTTAGCAGGGAGGCCTAGACTATTTTTCTTCTTATCTGTGCAGACACTCACAGATTACCAGCATCATTCTCCAAAAGTGAAGACCCCTCTCTCCGAAAGAACAAGAAAATGATCAACATAAGCAATGTTTAAGAATCTTGCATTTACAATCTTCTTTCAAGATGTATCTCTCTGGTTCTTTGCCCAGCTACACAATAGAATCTTCTGAGGAGAGTGCATAAGATGTCCTGTTCCCAACATCAAAGGTTATGAATCAGTTTGTCTGAGTGGGGCACAGGCATTGGTATTCCTCTTTGAGTCATAAAATGGATAATTTTGTGTATCTGAATCATCTGGGACTTAATCCTAATGTCCAACTTATAGCACAGATCAATTATAACTCTGATTTCCTTTGAGGGAAATCCAGGTCTTGAAATGATTCCAGTGTGCAACCTGGAGATTTAGCCTGAGCAGAGTCTAGTTACTAAGACAGGGGGAGATTTTAAGTCAATGTTGAATTAGCCTGTAATGTATATCCCATGAAAGATATTAACAGGGGTGAGGGTACTCTTGCCCTCTCCTCCTTTGGCTGTGAGCAGTGCGGCCTGGCCCTCTGTGTCTACATCCATCCCAAACAAGCTGCACAAACACTGGACTCCAGGGCTGTTGACATGATTGAATACTCCCTCAGTTGGCCGAGGGTCAAAATCAATGTGGATAAGATCTAAATCTTGTTGGAGTATTACTTTGGAGGTAAAGTGTATGTAAATCTATTTGACTATCCCTCCTCTGTTGAATGTCATATATCAACTAGAGGCCCAGTGCACAAAATGTGTGCACAGGTAGGGTCCCTACGCTTGGCCAGCGATCAGGGCCAATTAGGTTCCCCCCACCTCCCTGCCTCCTCCTACCCTTGCTCTCTCAGCACCCCACTGCTGGTTGCCTGCCATGTTTCACACCACCCCCTGGTGTTCAGTGCACATCACAGTGAGCGATCAAACTCCCAGTCTCCTGGCCAAACTCCCAAGGGGACACTTTGCATATTAGGCATATATGTGTGTGTGTGTATATATATATATATATTACTGCATCATATCCTATCTAGTGCTACCCACTGGAGTTGTGCAAGGGCAAGCCTGTTTAAAATACCCATCTTGTTGAAATGACAGAAATCAATGTATGAGATAGCTTAGGGAGCAGAATCTTCTATAATTTTGCAGACCTTAAAACATTTTGGCATATGGAATCAATTTGAGTAAATATGCCCATGATTCGCTAAGTGGTGATGGTTTTATTCCTAAACACCAGCTCAGCACCTTAATGGTTCCTTTGAGGTTGGATGCAGGGCCTCTGTAAAGGACCCAGTTGTCCTGAGTACATTTTTCTGCAGGACTCATGACAGGATGCATACCTTAAACTCACTAGCTTTGTCTGGCCTATTCTTTCTGTCTGATACATGAAACCATCTTAGATCTGCCTGCACGATGGAGTGAATATTTGTGATTTTTTTCCTTTCCCTCTCCCTTCTTTAAAATGCTACTATGTCAAATTTGCACCTTACCCTTAATCTGCAGGCCAGCCCTGCCCATTTCCACTTAAAATCCCTTCTCCAGTGGTCTAAAGCTCTACCTTCCATTCTAATAAGAAAACAAAGTTTCCTCCAAACAAATGAAAATAATGCTTTCATGCTGAGACACTCAACTCCAGAACCATCTGCTGTTCTCTGCTCATCACACACAGGGATATGTTCCAACTGAGTATGAGCAAGCTTCAAGGAAAGGAGGTAGTGGCAGGGATAATGTACCAAGGGAGACGGTCTAGATTATTCTAGGGTTACAGGTTGGAGTTAGTACTTACATATGGGTCAACTAAGGTATTGTCATGAGACTGCGAGATTCTCCGCTACAAAGAGAGAAAGATTGCGTGACAATGCTGAATATGATGTTTTCATCTATAACTTATTTAAACAGCCCATCTTTTGAGGGATTCAATTCACAATGTATCCATTATTTCATAAATATATCTACAAGGAATAAAAAGTGCCAGAGTACCACCACTTGGTCCAATCTAGTTACATCCTCTGGCTCTCAGACCCAAGGTGGGCCTTTGTGAAGTTATGCAGGTTGTCTGGTCCTGGTCTCCACAGATGAAATTGGAAGAACTCTTCTGGTTCTCCTACTTTGAGAGGCCCTCAGGCCTTCTTCTCCATATTAATAAGTATAACCCCAACAGAGTAGCTGCAATGAAAGTATCAAGCTAATAGCCTCCAGCAACCTCAGAGCCCAGATTCCTGGAATCCATGCAAATGTCCCAGAGAAGAATTCCACCACCCTTTGAAACTCTTCTAAGGTGTAGCTTTAAAGGAAAAAATGTGCTCAAGGGCCCCAGTGTTTCAGCTCTTCTTCCCAAAGGTCACCCTCCTCTCCTCTCCATTCAAATCCTAAGATGTCAGCTGGTGACATTTCAGAGGTAACTAACTACCACCTACCAGACTTACATTGCTTGGGCATATACATTGGAATGACTTGATGTCCTCCCCTTCTGGATTCAGGTAGCCACAGCCTTTATCTTCAGCCCAGGGCATAGAAGTCATAGATAAGTGTGATCCACTGGACAATCACCTGAGAGGTGGCCATGTCATTGCCCACATCTCTGTGTGGCCTAGATTCTTTTCATATTGTCTGATATGGAAGTTTTTATTCCATATTAGAAGTTATAATTCCATATGAAACAATGAGTTGAAACAATCCTTGAGGTCAAGGTTATTGTTTGAATCTTCTTTAATGGCTAGTGGGCATTTAGTATGCCCTTGACAATTTTATGTTAAACAAGTGAATGGATAAGTATTCTTTTACTTAGAAAAAGAGATTACTTGCTCTCTCCTAGACAAACATTAGCATACAATACATGATTCTTCTTGAGGAGTATGTTATTTCATAAAATATTGTCACCAAAAGATATTAGAGGCCCCTTCAGGAGCCAGGGAAGCTGTCTTGTGGTGCTAAGAGTGACACTTAAGTTTCCAGAAACCAGTGAGCTCCATCAGCAAAAGAGGTTCTGAGAGACACAGAGGAACCACAGCAGTAGTTATTGGTCCTGAGATCTGCCAATTTAGAGAGCTTCTGTTTTTGATCAAGGAGAGACAAAATACAAAGGCAACTGCAGCTTGTTACTGAAAAGTGTTTGACTCATAAATGAGGGTATATCCTAATGAAAGGAAGTTGCCAGCTCACTTGGGTGCTCTACTTGAGTAAATCTTGGTACTTGAGGAATGGTACAGATGCTCATCTTCAACTTACTCACTAAATAAGCCTAATAAGTTTCCAAAGAGGAAATTGAGTAAATAAAATGTCTCAAGGACTGACAGTTTAAATCATCAGACAATATAAAGGCCTGGACCTCACATCCCCAGTGAAAGATAAATCTCATTGGCCAGCTATGTGTGACCTATCTTAGGATTTGAGAATGTCTTGGATGGCCATATCTACCTGAAGTATCTAAGAATGATATTTCTTTTCTCCCCTTCTACCTCAATACTCATTCATACCAAATCTTGGAAAAGCCATCACTTTGTCCTGAATCTGAACTGTGCATTATGTATTTGTTTGTTAGCATCAAAGTACACAATTTTTCAGGTCAGGCCTCCTATATTCATGGATCGCCCAAAAGTTTCTTCCCCCAAAGCACTATCCTCATGAAAGGCAAATAATTTCCCCCTGAAAAAGAATTCTGATTGTCTCTATGCATGTTTTATTGGAAGGTGGAAGAAGATGTAAAGGATCAGGAAAGAAGCAGGCTTTTAGTTGCCTATTTCATGAAATAGTGTATGGCAGGGTGTCCCAAAATAATGTACACACACTTTAATAGCTGACAGCTCAATTTTGAAAAGGAAATGTATTTTAATAAACATTGCCTTTATAATTATTCAAAGTGTGTGTATATATTTTGGGGAGATGTTCCAAGATACACTACTAGACCAGGGGGTCATAGGCATGATGGTGAGCAAACTTTTGCACCATCAGAAAATAATAACCCTAATTTTTAAAAATCTTAGCTTGAGTTGAAGATGACTCTGTGACTATTATTAAATGCTTTTATGTATTTCATAATTATGATTGCCTTTACAACTTTAACACCCTTACAGAATCTGCATCTATGGCTAAAACTCATCTATGAGATTTATTTTGATACCTCCTTATCGTCTTCATATCAACTGATTTGCTATTCAAAGGAGACCTTGCATACAATATAATGTCCAAATTAGGACCGCTGAAGGTACATGCAAAAAAAAGATAATTATAATTATCCAACTGAGAAACCATAAAATAACATACTGCATATGTAAAATTAGTTATGCAATGAGAATTTGTAGAAAGTTATATAGTCATTACCTTTTTTCTCCTTCTGTATATCACTGGGGGATTGCATAGAAATCCTTTCTGAAAAATAAAAAGATCCAAGTATATGGGTCTGTGGGTCTGGTTTGTGAGTCTTGCATTTCCAACCTCCTCCCAAATATTTCTACCCTGATATCCCACTGTCAGTTAGAACCAAGGTGTCTAAATGATACACCATCTCCCTCTCCTCACCTGTTCTAAAATTCATCAACAGTACCCAGAAAAATCACCTTTAGAACCTTTTTCTTTGATCTTGTGCTTTTCCCCTTCGTTTTAAGAGATTTTCCTTCACAATCCCTTTGATACTTTTCACCTCCTTTCTATTCCCACAAGTTCCATTCAAAATTGCATGCTCACATCAGGGCTATTCAACCAATACATATGTATCCCACACCTACAGGATGTCAGACACCCTGGATAATGTTGAACACACAAATATGTACAAACCCTAGAGGGATCTAGAGAGATAAAGAGAATTCACAGAATGATAAGTTTTAAATAGTATGAGAAGGGCCTTAATAGTGAGGTTAGGGGGCCCAAGGCAGGTCAGTCAGGGAATATTCAAAGAGGGGTGACACTGGAGTTGAACATTGTAGGATGATTATAGGCTTCTTGGGCTGAAAGACAATGAAGCCATTTCCAAGCCCCATGTTGTCTGAGATAGTGTTTTTTAAACATGTCATTTCATAGCTCAGGAGACACCCTGGTTCTGCATTGTATATGCTATGACTTTAAAATCCTTAGCCTGGCATTAAATCCCTCCAAAAAACCCCAAATTGATGGATTATGCCTTATCACACACACAATCCATCTACCTCAATCCACGGAGCCACATTAGTTGTGGTTCTGGTTTTCGCACCATTCTTTCTCTGGAGTGCCTTCTGACCACTTGTTTGGCCATAGACTGTCTCCTTTCTTTCAGTGCCTAAAGTTGTCTGCAAGCACCTGAGTCAGGATGACTTTTCCCTCCTCCACGATCCTGCATCTATCCTGAAAGAGCCTCTAATCAATGTGCTGCCTTGTACTAAGGTATGAGTGTGGGGTAAGCATAAAGTCAGGGGCTATTACTCAACATATATTTGGTGAACAAACAGTGACCTATCTTAGGGTGCAAGCAGGAAAACCACATCCAAGCTCCTGTCGCTGGAATACCTCTATCAGCCATTTTAGGGTTCTCCTACTGCAGCGCATGCTGTTCTTCCAGTTCTTCCATCCTGCACGGCCTCCTTTGACTTCAAATTCTCTGGGAGTGAACCAATTTCCATCCTCACCCTGTATGCACTTCATGGTGGATCCTGTAAGACCAGAATAAGTTGATCCTGGGCCTTTTGTCCTCATAACTCAGACACTTGCCTCCCACCACACTGGATCTGGAGTCACCCAATTCGGGCTCAAGATCACTAGCAGAAGAGTCTGTCCTCCCCTCTCAGACTTCAGCATCCCCAAACCCAGCCTGTAAGTTCCCTCCCAGGAGATTTCCTGCTTTGGGCACACATTTCTTTATCTTTTGTACAACAAAAAAAAAAGTGATCATTACCATCAAAATCAACGTTAAAAAGGATTCCAAAATCACCTATAAGGAATCCTCCAAGAATCCTCTCATTCTGAACAATGAGGGGATTTCAATGTGCTGTTGAATTCTGGGAATAGAGAACAGGCCAGACTCTCTGATGGCCCTGGGTCAATGTGAAGGCAGAACCTCTGGATGGACTGAGATCTCAGCTCAGAATGGCACAACAGAAACATCTGTGTCCTTTATTTCAACATGCTTCATCCAGTTTAATGTCATTATTGAGCACTGAGTTTTTTCATCCCTGAATTCATGAACAGCTGATGATAAAAATAATTGTGACATGTATTCAGTGGAAATTTTAAGCTATATGTAAAATATAATCATATGCTAAACATTATTAGCCATTAGAGAAATACAAATCAAATCCACAATGAGATATCACTTCACATCCACTAGTCGGGCCATAATTTAAAAGTCAGACAATTATGCCCTGACTGGTTTGGCTCAGTGGATAGAGCGTCGACCTGCGGACTGAAGGGTCCCAGGTTCAATTCTGGTCAAGGGCATGTACCTTGGTTGCGGGCACATCCCCAGTAGGGGGTGTGCAAGAGGCAGCTGATCAATGTTTCTCTCTCATTGATGTTTCTAACTCTCTATCCCTCTCCCTTCCTCTCTGTAAAAAATCAATAAAATACATTTTAAAAATATAAAAAAAAAATAAAAGTCAGACAATTACAAGTATTGGCAAAAAGAGAGAGAAATTGGAACCCTCATACCTTGCTGGTGGGAATATAAAATAGTGCAGCCACTATAGAAAATATTTTAGTGTTTTCTCAATATGTTAAACACATAAAATTACCATATGAACCAATAATTTCCCTCCTGGGTATATATCCAAAAGAATTAAAAACATGTGTTCAAACAAAAAACTTGCATATAGATTTTTAAAACAACATTATACATAATCCCAAAGAATGGAAATAACCCAAACTGATGAAGAGATAAACAAAAAAAGGTAGAGTCATACCATGCAATATCATATTATTTGATAATAAAAAGTAATAAGTACTATTCATGCTATCACATGAATGAACCTTGAAAACATCATGCTAAGTGAAAGAACCAGTCACAAAAAGGCTCATATGATATGATTCAATTTATATTAAATACCTAGAATATGCCAATTTACATAGCAGAAAAAAGGTTAATGATTGCTTATGGCTGGGTGGTGGGGTGAGGTAGAAATGGGCATTGACTACTGAGAGACATGGGGTTTTCTTTAGTGGGGGGCAAAAAAGTTCTAAAGTTAGATTGTAAATTCACAATCCTATGAATATACAAACTTAACAATGAATCGTATACTCTAAGTAGTGATTGTATGATTTATGAATTATATAAGGAAGCTATTTAAATATTATACATCAATTATGTGAAATAATTCATTATAGCTATACCATGAAGCAGATCATCTATTTTTAGATGAAGTATTTCAGGGTCAAGAAAAGTCCCCTTCTCTACATAGATGAATCATTCACTTTTGGCATAGCTGAGGCTGGGACTAGGGTTTTCTGACTCTAAATTCTGTCATCTTCTCACTACATCAAACACCCTGCCCTTGTGATTATGATCCAGAAGGAAGAAAGGATATGGAGGTGGAAGCTGAGAGCCTCTTCCTTTTATTTCTGACTAGAGGCCTGGTGCACAAAAACTTGTTCACTCGTGGCGGGTGGGTCCCTCAGCCCAGCCTGTGCTCTCTCGCAGTCTGGGACTCCTCGGGGGATAACCACCTGCTGGCTTAGGCCTGCTCCCTGGGGGATTGGGCCTAAGCTGGCAATTAGACATCCCCTCTGGCAGCCCGGAGCCCTCAGGGGATGTCCTCTTGCCAGCGGGGAGCAGGCCTAAACTGCAGCCAGACATCCTTAGTGCTGCTGAGGAAGCGGGAGAGGCTCCCACCACCACTGCTGTACTGGCAGCCATCAGCCTGGCTTGTGTCTGAGCAGAGCTCCCCCTGTGGGAGCGCACTGACCACCAGGGGGCAGCTCCTGCATTGAGCGTCTGCCCCCTGGTGGTCAGTGTGTGTCATAGTGACCAGTCATTCTCAGTCATTCTGCTGTTAGGGTCAGTTTGCATATTACCCTTTTATTATATACAATAGAGGCCTGGTGCATGGGTGGGGGGCGGCTGTTTTGTCCTGAAGGGTGTCCCGGATCAGGGTGGGGGTCCTGTTGGGGTGCCTGGCCAGCCTGGGTGAGGGGCTGATGGCTGTTTGCAGGCTGGCCAAGCCCCCCAGCGGGGACCCTCACCCCATGAGGGTGTGACCAGCCTGGGTGAGGTGCTGATGGCTGTTTGCAGGCTGGCCACAGCCCCTTCAGTGTGAGGCACTGGGGTGCCTGGCCAGCCTGGGTGAGGGGCTGATGGCTGTTTGCAGGCTTGCCACGGCCCCCAGCCACCCAAGCTCCCAGTGGAGGCTGGCTGGAAGCAGGTATCTGGGGTTTATTTATCTTCTATAATTGAAATTTTGTTGCCTTGAGTGGAGCTCAGAGCCGGCCAGGGCAGGTGGGAAGCTTGGCTTCCTCCATCACCAGGGAACCAAGCCTTCTGCTTGCTTCAGCTCCGTGGCTGCCGGCCGCCATCTTGGTTGGGTTAATTTGCATATAGTCACTCTGATTGGCTGGTGGGCATGGCTTGGGGCATAGTGAAGGTATGGTCAATTTGCATGTTTCTCTTTTATTAAATTAGATTCACTTCTTTTTGGTCCTTTGGGCATTTCTGTAGTCACTGCCATGTGGAAGTGAACATCCAAAATCTATGGTTTCTTAAAGTTTGAAAATATCATATTTGGGATCCCTTCCTCCTTCTCTCAAGCCACAGTGGGTGCTCAATTCCTTGAATGATGGGTAATTCTATGACTTCTTGTCATTCCTTCACATCAGAGCTGTAAATGAGACCATGAAACCCACCTTGTTTCAATTTCTTCTTATGTAACATCCCTTTCACCTCACCACAGGTCACAGGAAGTATTTCAGAGGAAAAATCCACACTTTCATCTGTGTGCCTTCTTGACCCTGAAACAAAAGATTCCTTCTTTCTCTATCATTTCCAATTGCACATGTGCCCCTCTTCCTATGTTGAGGCTGTTTCTAGAAACACATAATGGTACTTAAGAAACTTTATTCAACAGATTTCTGGAGTCAAAGTCTGTCTTCCAAGTGCCATTTTTAGTACATAACCACAGAGTGTCCACTTCTACCTTCAAACCCCACACAATCAGAATGCCTTAGCAGAAAGATAGGGCTTCCATAAACTGTCATAACTCCCAATCCAGTCAGCCCTCCTGATGCTTACGTTCTTTACATTCTTACAATGAGACATACAGTTGCAGTTAGGTAACTAAAGACAAAGTGAGAGACTGTATTTGTATTTCCCTGTTTGAGCTCTGACTCAGTGAGCGGAGAGGATAATAATGGGATAATTTAATGAAGATGTTGTCTACTAGTATATGTTATCTGCTTTGCCTTATTTTTTCCTCACATCAACTTTCTCCAAAGATGAAAAAGGAGCTCAGGAAACTCTATAATAATCTGAAAATTGTTTGGGGGTTGGGGGCTAGAGACCTGATTACACAAAAGAATGAAAGTTTTTCAAATGAACTAACTCAGGATGTGTAGTTAATCCTACCCTTTCAGCCAATGTTTTAGAGCCTTGATGGGAACATGGATATCCATGTTCCAATCTTAAGATAGGCAGACTATTAGAACTAAGATGGACTGAGAATGATGGTTGGCCTGTGGGAAACTGATATAGGGTTGAGCCTCGGACTGACCTGCTGGCAAAGTCACAAACAAGTCCCAGCTTAGAGGGCTCAGTCCTCTTAGCATAATTAGGCTTGACCTTATAACACTCCCCAGATCTTACCTGGGAAGCTAATGGGCTGAGGGAAGTGCAGGGAGTGTAAACATGATCAAAACAGGTGAAACTCACAAGAACTGTAACTATGGTAACCACTACATTGTTTACCTCAGACTATAAAAGGTCGGTGCGGACTGAGCACGGGTGGGAGTCCTTCCTCTTGAGTTGGACTTACCCGCCTGGTCCCCCAATATTTCCAAATTATCTCTTGTCTTTTCTATTTCATTTGTGTGCGGCTCCTCTTCCAGATATTGAACCCTGAACCACGCAGGACGTGGAAGGAAACATTTACAACATTGGCCTAATTCACTCTCTTGATTTACAGATGAGGAAACTGAAGCAAAAGTCATCAAGTGACTGGCACAAGCCCAGACAGTCAAAACAGAGGACACGGACTTTTGACCACTATTCTGGGCCACCTGTGATATGCAACCAGTGACTGTGTAACAGGAGAAGAGCAGCTAAATAATTTGTCGGTTATATATACCCTTTATATAGCAACAGACTATGTCTGTTCACTTCTCTTTGGTCCTTTGGGCATTTCTGTAGTCACTGCCATGTGGAAGTGAACATCTGCATCTATGGCTTTTCTCTTTTCACATGTTACTAATGAAATAATACTTTTGTATTACAAAAGTTGAATGTGTTTACTATTATTAATATGCACACATACATTTTAAAAACACAAATAAAAATATAAATATCACTAATGACCAAATAAAACTGCTGCATTTTATGGATGAACTTTCATTGACTTTTCTATATATCTATATCTATGTTTCTCTATAGAGATTGATAATATGTACTAGTATAAATAAGCATTTGTATATATATAAAACATATTGGCACAGATATATGCTTATATGTATATATTTTTATAGTATGTATATATACACATACATACAGTCTGCTTTCATCATTCAGCCTTCTTTGGAACATCTTCCTAGATTAATAAAAATGTCTTGACCCAGTAAAGAAACCACAAAGTGAGGATGACAGTGTCTCCCTATTAGCCCCAGATCATTTAGCTGTGGTGGATTACATACATGTATCAGAAATAAACCATTTTGTTGAAGTCACTGAATTTTTAGGCCTCTTTGTTACAGTGTCTTAGCCTATATTCTACCTGATATAGTAGCTGGGAAACTATCATGGCCCTCAGGAGATTGCAGGATACAAGGATACAATAAGCAGTGCCTTAGTAAACTCAAAAGGTGTGACTACTTCACTTTGCCCACTTACCTTTTTGATTTATGTTTCTCAGCCATTTTCTTTTCACTCTTGTCCAGGAATGCCCTTTCTTTTTTCCTTCAAAAAAGAACAAAGTTAATTATGCAGAACCGTGAATATAATTCTCAAAGCCTCATAGGTCAGTAGTGTTCAAATATTTTTTTCAAACTTTGATCCACAAAAATGAAGCAAAATTCTTAATTACCAGTGTGGCAGTATGAGGTTGTTTATGGAGTTACTGTGTGTGGACTTGGGAGACTGTAGGATATCACCTTTATTTGACAATTAAAAACAAATCACATGTAAGCATGGGTTTATTTCTGAAATTTCTCTGCTGCCCCACCGATCTATGTGTCTGTTTTTATGCTAGTGCCATACTGTTTTGATTACCATAGCTTAGTATAGTTTGAAATCAGGGAGCATTATACCTGCAACTTCATCTTCTTTTTTCTCAAGATTGCTTTGGCTATTCAGGGTCTTTTCTGGTTTTATATACATTTTAAGATTATATGTTCTAGATCTATGAAATATGCCATTGATATTTTGATAGGGATTGCACTGAATCTGTAGATTGCTTAGGTAGAAATAAAACCCACACTTATATGGTCAATTAATCTATGACAAAGGATGCAAGAATATATAGTGGGGAAAAGGCAGTCTCCTCAATAAATGATGTTGGGAAAGCTGAACAGATACATGCAAAGGCAATTCTCCGTGGGATTTCTACATGCCTCTGCGTATCTCTTCAATAATATTTCAAAAGCTGCCTTGGAAAGCAGAGATAAGTAGCCCTCCAGGTCAGAGGGAAGATTTGTTTCCTGACTAGTATAAAACCAGAGAATAGCTCCCTCCCTAGAAGTATTCCAGGATAGTGAAGTCTCTCTCCTCGCCTCAGACGAAATTTGCTTAAGTTCCAGCTAATAAGATAATGTTCTTTCAGGGGTAATGTTTGAGCAGGTTTACCAACAGGTTTATTAAACCCCTTCTAAGACTGGGGGGTTTTGATAGATAAGAACAGTTTCTGAAGCATTTTATTCTTCAGTTCAGCACAGCCTCTATGTGCTGCATAACCCCTACATGGGTTTGTATGTATCCCATATCCCAGCAATTTCATTCCTAGGAAATTATGCAAGAGGTGGGCAGGCATGGAGCCACAGAAAGACTTCTACAAGAATGTTCATTGCAGCCTTCTCATATTAGTCAAAAACAGACACACTTGTGATGTCCATCAATAGAAGAATATATACACAAAATTGAGTATATTCATACAATGTGCACTACTTTACAATAAAAAAGAAAAAAAGCTACTGATACATTCAACAAAGTGGATAAAACTCAAAAATACTATGCTGAGAAAAAAATTACTCTGAGTAAAAATAAACTTTTCAATAAAATAGTTTTAAAACCAGTCAAATTATGTTATAATGAAAAATATAAATTGCTATTTTAAAATATGTGATCTAACCATATTAATTGTCTATTGGTGCTAGAGTCAGAAACTGACACAACTCACTGAGCTAAATCAAGGTGTCCACAGGCTTTGTTCCTTCCTGGAGGCTATCGGGGATAATCTTTATCTTTTCTAGCTCCTGAAACTGCTCACATTTCTTGGTTCATTGTCTGCATCTTTAAAACCAACTGCATTGAATCTCTGATTATTTCATGGGTACACATCCTTCTCTCCACAGCTGGAAACGTTTTCTGATTTTAAGGACGCCTGTGGATTTACTGGGGCCACCTAAATAATCCAGAATAATCTCCCCATTTTATGATCCCTAATCACATCCTCAAACTCTCTTTCTCCATGTAAAGAAACAGATTATAGGTTCCAGGGATTAGACATGGAGAGTTCTGTTTCTGTTGGTATAAAATTCTTAAGAATCTCTCATGTATATCATAGGGTTTTACTCCATTAAAAAGAGGCTCCTACACAGATCTTTCCTATATAATTATATATCTGTGTTTTACTTCTACTGTGAGTCACATACTTAATCTCTTCAAAGCACCTTTTATGTGACTGAATACCCTGGCCTTTTGCTACTTCTGAAGCATATGCAAAAATTCATTAGGCCAGATTCTTATTCATTCTTCAGAGCACAGTCTCCTGACAGTGGCTCCCCTAATCTTAGCATCTTTTGCAACCTGAATAGGCTGAGAATTTTCCAATCATCAAGTCCTGATTTCTTTTGTTTAGCTGTTCTTCCCTCTATTTATTTCTTTCCTCTACCATTTTACTTTAAGCTGTGAAATGAAACCAATTTCACCTTCATCATTTGGTTTAGAAATTTCCTCATATATACACAGAAAGGCCTACTTTCCACATGTCTACAGAGTAAACTTTGCTAAGCTTTCTGCCATGACTTCTGTCTTTGGCATCCACATTTCTGCCAACAAACTGCTACAGGCCATGAAGACATTCTCTATCATTCTACTTAAAATTCTTCCCACTGCCCAATTCCTAAGCCAATTCTAAAATTTGCTTTTCAGAGATGTGTTATAGCTGCACCCCACTTCCAATAACCAAAATCTGTATTGCTCTTCTATAGCTGCCATAACAAATGAATACAAATTTAGTGGCTTAAAACAATGCAAGCTTACTATCTTACAGATATGTTGGTTAGAAGTCTGATAAGGGTCTCTCTGGGCTAAAACATAGGCCTTTATTCCTTTCAGGAGGCTGTGAAGGAAAAGCTATTTCTGTGACTTTTTAGCTTCTACAAGTCACCCATATCTTTTTCATTTCCTCCATCTTCAGAGACAGCAATAATGTCGTTCTTTATATCTTCCAGAGTTACTCCTCCTTCTCCCTCTGTTCTCCAATTTTTAAGGCCAATTGATTATACTGGTGGCACACAGATATCTAACATAAACTCCCCTTTCAAGGTCTCTGGTTTTGTTATATCTGTAAAATCCCTTTTGCCATGGAAGAAAACACATTAGAGGTTCCAAAGATTAGGAAATGCACATATTTAAGGGATCATCATATTATTATCACTTACTATTATGGTAATTGAAACTGTGGCATTAATAACCTCAATTTAACATCAAAATCCAGTAAAATCTTATGCACTCTTACTTCTTTTCCTCTTGAATTGTCCCAAAGTAGAGTTGTTTCCAAGATCCACAGTATCTGAAAAAAGAGGTTGATGTAAGAAAACAGATATTAATAGCTAAAAGTTATCAAATCCTATGATGACCCATACTACTGAAGGCTTGAGTTTATAAAGTTGTTTGGATTATCATTTTTCTCTTCTTTCTAAAGGAACTACAAATCTCCTGAATTGAGAAGTAGGAGTCCAGGATGGGCCTGGGAGCTTCCTTCTTTTTTTACTCAATGGGACTCTTAAAAAACTCTTCAATACCTACTAACTTCAATTCATTCACGGATAAGAACAGGTGTCCTATCCTATCTAGGTCTTAAGATTTTTGTGAAGACCAAATAACATCTTATGTGCAAATGTTTGTAGGGGAAAAAAAATGTATAAATTGGTGACATGCAGAGAACATCCAACAAAAATATGTGCTGGGTTAATCGAAGTTGATCTGACGTCTTCCTTCCTGACAATTAAGTGGCAGGATCAGCTGTCTTAGAGGTCTTTCTAAGGTTGTGGAAAAAATGACGCTATTATCTACTGGCAGAAGTACACCTTGTTTTTATGGGTTCCATAGAATATTGGGTGTGACAGCAGTGAAAATAGCTCCATAAATTCAAGGTATTATTACTAATATACCAATGTAGCAAACTATATATTGCCATTTTAAGAGTGTATTTCTACTATATCATCCATAATAGTCAATAGGACCCATCCTGTTAAATATGATATTATAATTATCTCTTGCCTCCCTGCTTTTTCCTAAAGGGTCAGGTCAAGAAAAAAATGCAGAGAACAGGGGAGTGGGATGGACTGGACCACCTGCTCCACTCTATCTGGGGTCCTGGGTAACTATGGATTCACCCTCACACCATGACCCTTGTGTAGTGCCTTACTTTGGCTACCTTCAGCCCTTGCTTCTGGGCCTCCTGGCACATATTTTGAGAGACACACAATGCAGGAACACTTACTACTTTTATGTGCTGGTAGCTCTAATTCTGGACCCAAATCATAATTTATGAAGCACATAACACAGGAACACCTCTCATTTCCACGTGTTGGCAGCTCTGCTCCTGGAACAAAATTGTAAGTTATGAAGACTCTTTTCCTATGCCCCAGTGATTCTATATTTGGTACCCTTATGAATTTCTGTTTTTCTACTTCTTCCTCTGAAATATAACATTGATCCTCTCTACATCTGACTCTTCCTTTAAGTCTTCCTTTTTTCTTCTCTTGTCTTTTTCTCTTTATTAGAACTCTGCTTACCTTGTCCATCACTGGGTAGTGGGATAGAGTTAAGCTCTTCAGATTCTTCTTCTCTACCCATTTGGGGAGCTTCTAGTTCACCAGATACTAAAGAAAAACAAGAAATTTACTGTTTATGGATCCTGAGACAGTGATTAGGGAATTGTTTCTGGTGCTCTTATGCAGCACACTGATATTCTGAGCTAAGACGAGCTCTTTCCTTCAAAAAATACATCTGCTCTAATAATCACACCTGAGTTCTGACAGAGCCATGCTTATCCCATCTTTTGCACCTCATTCTGCTTCCTCAAATTTTATTTTTTCTACTTGTAGCCCTAAGAATAAATAAAAATATTGTATTCTTCCAGGAAAAAAAACTGTTCTTTGAAAATACTAGAACCACTTTTATTCATTTGTTTAAGAAATCCTTTTTGTATTTTATTTAGCCTAGGCTATGTTTACATTTAATCTCCATTCACATATTTTTATCTTTATTGTTGAAAGTATTACATATGTCCCCTTTCTTTCCCTATTGACCCCTTCTAGCCCTCCCCATCCTCTACCCCAAGCTTTCATCACATGCTTATCTGTGTCTATGAGTTATGTATATATGTATATAAGTTCTTTGGTTGATCTTTTCCCACCCACTCACCACCACCTTTCCTCTGAGATTCAACAGTCTCATGCTTCCATATTTCTATGTCTCTGGATCTATTTTGTTCATCAGTTTATGTTGTTCATTAGATTCCACATATGAGTGAGATCATGTGATACTTGTCTTTCTCTGACCAGTTTATTTCACTTAGCATAATACTCTCCACATTCCCTCCATGCTGTCTCAAAGGGTAAGATATTCTTCTTTTTTACAGCTGCATAGTATTCCATGGTGTAAATGTACCACAACTTTTTTATCCACTCCTCTACTGATACCAGAACCACTTTTAAACTCATGCTAATTGACCAATGACTGCTTACATTGCCAACCACATTTAAAGCCAGCTAATGAGTTACAGCCTTACCCTTTGAAAATAAGCCATAATCTATTGGCTAAAGAAAAACATTGTATTAAGAAATGTTACAGAGTATCCAAAATTACCCAAAACAATTACTAAAAAACAAGTAAGGGGAAATATAGAATTAACTTGGTATTGAAGACAATGGATATCAAACTTTTCTGTAATAGTGTTCCTACATTTGACTACATCAAATATCTTAGAGCCACTCTCATGTAATGCACAAATTGAAAATACCTTCATACTCTCAAAATATTCCCTCATTAGCCATCTACACTGGATCCCTCATATTATCACAATCCTTTTATTTTATATGTACATAAGAAAATAGGCCTTGCTCTAGGGGTATTAGTTCAATACATGACAAACATCAAAAGCCCATTGCTAGCAGCCACAGCTTATATTGGTTGCCTCAACACAACTGCAGATGGCCATTAGTTTTAGCTTTTTTATATTTAGACTTGCATCACCTTTACATATGATGGATTACATACTGTACAACTCTGTTGTTCATTGAAAGTATTCAACAGTGTTCTGCCATCCAATTAACTATTTATGAAATATCACTACTTTATCTTTCTTCTGTCATCCTGTGCAGACAAAATAATTCTCCATCTAGCAACTCCATAACTCTTACTCAATGAAAGGGATTTTACTTCCACTGTGCACTTCCAGAAAAGATATTTGGGATACTTCCATGCTAAATCCTGACTTAATATTATTTGGTGAGAGGTATTGTCTTTAAAAATAAAATAAAATAACCAGGCTGGTTGTCCAATTCCCTTACATTTCCTTTGTAGGTTTACAGTTGTTCATGTGGAAAATAATGCAGTAATTAATAAATACTAGTAATACAAAAATAAACTGTTTCACATACTCACAACTATAAACATACTTTTGCTCCATCCTGTGTAAATGAAAGACTATGATTCTGTGCTGAAGAAGTGAATATAAATATTCTTGGAAAATGACAATAAATAACTGTTCCAGTAAAGTTAATTGAACTTTTGTGCAGATCTTTTGTTCTTTTCCAAATATGGAATTTTGTCTACAACCAAAAGAAGCCCAATGAAGAGTAATGGGTAGAATTGGGTTCTCCAAAAATCTTACTTTCAAATAACAATTAAGGATTGACTTAATAGATGTTGCAGCAGAGAATGTTCCTCTATTTTGTAAGTAAATTGGCTGGCTGTGAATGGACATTTCAGTGTCTGCTGTCATTCAAACTTGTCTTATTTTCTAAGGCAGTGAAACAAATTCATTCTCTTCTTTCTGTGTTCAATGCCTACCATCCATTGACCACCATCTGTTGGCTCTGGGTGTGGTCATATAGAACCCATGAAGAACTATTTTCCAGACTATTTAGTCTAACTGCTGTAAACAATTCACCAAGTCCAGTCACTTCAAAAAGCCAGTGATGTAAGGTAAAGGAATTTCCATATAAAGCAGATAAAACTCAGAGGGGAAAAAAACGTATAGGCTCTGGGCAGAAAAGAGCTATAATATAAACATAAACAATTTGCAACACTGGGCTTGCTTTTTAGGTTTCATAGCTCTCGGATTGACTGATAAGCTTGACTAGTAAAAAATTAAGGAGAATCTATGTTCCTCAAAACCTTAGCAACTATTGTATAGACCCATACATAGTGCAAATAAGAGTGACACAAAGTTTATCTTTGCCTAATCTTGACAGGATCCTGCAGATTCATTCCCACCTTCTTTCTACTCAAGACCAACTGGCCAACAGCTTTGTTGGGATAGGCAAGGAAAATACAGAGTTGGGTAAAACAGCAGCTGATATGAGGTCAAAAACCAGTGTGGGAATCCTGGATTCAATTCTGAACACCTTCACTCTACATTCAGACAAGAAAGCAAATTGATGGTAAAGAGTCTTGGGTTTCCAGAATATTGTCTCTTTTTAGGAGAGACAATTTTAAATTACATGCAAGCTTTCATTGTACTTTGGAAAGAAGTGGTTTAGAATTTTTTCTACTCATTTGTACACTTAAATGAAACGTTACACTTAAATGAAATGTTATAATGATTAAATCCCAATATTTGGCATTTGGAAATAACTAATTTTAAAATGGACTCATCTCTCAGATGATTAGCGACTTTCAGCATGTTTTCATATGTCTCTTGGCCTTCCTTCTGTCTTCTTTTGAAAAGTATCTATTTAGGTCCCTTGCCCATTTTTTTGATTGGGTTGTTTATCTTCCTTTTGTTAAGTTGTATGAGTTCTCTGTAAATGTTGGAGGAGTGGATTAAAAAACTGGTACATCTACACAATGGAATACTACACTATGGTTTAAAAAAAGAAAAGAGTTCTTTCCATTTGCCACAGCATGGATGGAACTGGAGAGCATTATGCTAAGTGAAATAAGCCAGTCAGAGAAAGATAAATACCACATGATTTCACTCATTTATGGAATATAATGAACAACATAAACTGATGAACAAAAACAGATCCAAAAAATTATAAAAAACAAACTCTTATTGGTGATAACATTGGCAAATATGTTTTCCCATGCAGGTGGCTTTCTTGTTGTTTTGTAGTGCAAAGCTTTTTATTTTGATATAGTCCCATTTGTTTATTTTCCCTAGTTTCCATTGCCTTAGGAGCAATGGTTGTGGATTCCTCTAGTATTTTTATGGTTTCCCATGTTATGTTTAAGACCTTTATCCATTTTGAGTTTATTTTTGTGTATGGTGTAACTTGGTGGTCTCGTTTCATTTTTTTTGCATGTATCTGTCCAATTTTCCCAACACCATTTATTGAAGAGACTGTCTTGACTCCATCGAATGTTCATGCCTCCTTTGTCAAATATTAATTGAGCATATTGACTTGGGTCAATTTCTAGGTTCTCTATTCTATTCCATTGATCTACATGTCTGTTCTTGTGCCAGTACCAGGCTGTTTTGAGAATAGTGGTTTGTAATACAGCTTGATATCTGGTATTGAGATACCACCTACATTGTTCTTCTTTCTCAGAATTGCTTCAGCTATTCATCTGAGATATGCAAATCAAAATGACAATGTGGTACCATTTCACACCTGTCAGAATGGCTATCATCAACAAATCAACAAACCACAAATGCTGGCGAGGATGCGGAGAAAAAGGAACCCTCATGCACTGCTGGTGGGAATGCAGACTGGTACAGCTACTATGGAAGACAGTATGGAGTTTCCTCAAAAAACTAAAAATGGAACTCCCATTTGACCCAGTGATCCCACTTCTAGGAATATATCCTAAGAAACTAGAAACACCAATCAGAAAGGGTATATACACCCCTATGTTCATAGCAGCACAATTTACCATAGCTAAGATTTGGAAACAGCCTAAGTGCCCATCAGCAGATGAGTGGATTAGAAAACTGTGGTACATATACACAATGGAATACTACCCTGCGGTAAAAAAGAAAGAGTTCTTACCATTTGCAACAGCATAGATGGAACTGGAGAGCATTATGCTAAGTGAAATAAGCCAGTCAGAGAAAGATAAATATCACATGATCTCACTCATTTATGGAATATAATGAACATAAACTGATGAACAAAAACAGATCCAGAGACAGAGAAACATTGATCAGACCGTCAAACTTTAGAGGGAAGGTAGGGGAGGGTGGGGGCAAGAGGGATAGATCAACCAAAGGACGGGTATGCATGCATATAAGCCTAACCAATGGACACAGACAACAGGGGGGTGAGGGCATGAGTGGGGGTATAGAGGGTAATAGGGGGATAAGGACACGTATGTAATAACTTAATCAATAAAGAAATTTTAAAAAAAATGGATTCAACCATTTTTCCTTTCATTCCAAACAAAAATTGCATACATTCACCAACAAAGCAGCCATGTAAATTGTTAATAACATAAGATATTTAGGTTGGTGAAAATTGATGAGTTTTAATTGGATTTTAAAATTTTACATAGTTCTGATTCAAAATTGTCAGTCATCCAGAAAATAAGGTTTCACCCTTATTGTCTAGAAGAAAGGAGTTCCTTACCATAAATAACTACAGAAATAAACAAGCTCTCAGGTATCTGATCAGAAGTAATGCATATACATTATTGAAAAATTAGAAAATAGAAATAGTATGAAACATCACTATCTGGGAATAACCACAATTAACTTGTTCAAAGCATCCCTTTAGACTTTTTCTTTGCATATGTTACTATTTGAGTAATATTTTTTCATTACAATAGTTGAGTGTGTTTATTATTATGATATGCACATACAGCTTAAAACACAAAAATATAAACATTACTTATATTTCAATGACCAAATGTAATCACTGCATATATTTTTATGGATGAGTTGCCATTGATTCTTCTATATATCTATATCTTTGCTTCTCTCTCTCTCTCTCTCTCTCTCTCTCTCTCTCTCTCTCTCTCTCTCTCTCTCTCTCTCTCTCTCTCTCTCTATATATATATATATATATATATATATATATATATATATATACTGTTTACCACATGTACACCACACATACAGTCTGCTTTCTTCATTTAGCCTTCTTTGGAACATCTTTCTAAATTAATAAAAATGTTTTGACTCAGAAAGAAGCCATGTAGTGAGGATGGCAGTGTCTCCCTATTCGCCCTAGATCATTTAGCTCTGGTGGATTACATACATGTATGAGAAATAAACCATTTAGTTTAATCTACTGCATTTTCAGGCCTCTTTGTTAGAGTGTCTTGGCCTATATCCCACCTGACATAGTATCTGGAAAATGAGCGTGACCCTCAGGAAGCTTCAGGATGCAAGGATACAATAAGCAGTGCCTCACTAAACTCAAAAGGTGTGGCTACTTCATTTTGCTTACTTACCTTTTTGATGTATGTTTCTCTGCCATTTCCTTTTGATTCTAAACCAGGAATGCCCTTTCTTTTTTTCTTCAAAAAGGAAGAGAGTAAAGTTAATTATTCAGACCATGAATATAATTCTCAAAGCCTCATAGTTCAGTAGTGTTCAAGTACTTTTTTCAGACTTTGGTCCACAACAAAATGGGATAAAATTCTTAACTGCCAGTGTAGCAGTGCAAGGTTGATTATGGAGTTATATTTCATGCTGCAAGGACTCAGGAGACAATAAGAGATGACCTTCATTTAAAATTATTCTTTAAAGTTAGAAAATAAATTCCTGCTGATGCCTTAGACAGATAACTATAGTAAGATAGCAATATTTTCCTTTTCAAGTGTTGATTCGAATGTGCAATGGGGAAGCATACTCATTATTATATTCCTAAATAATATCATGGATCATATACTGGGCTAGAAGGCAAAGAAATGGTCTCGATTTCCAAGTGGAGTGTTCACGAAATAATCTCTGAGCTCTTGCAGGTATAAAGCAGATCCTCTCACTTATATTCAATCGAGTACCTAAAGCTCCTGGAGAACTTGAAGACCCACAGCAGGTGTTCTGTGATTGTGATTTTGCTTTCTCATGAATGACATGAAAACATGTGAATGTGAGAAGCCCATTGGTGCTGGGTAGAGATTGTGTCTTGTTATTATTATTATTAATATCATAACAGCCCGCTACTAGATATTTACTGCTGAAAGTAAATATCCATGGAGGAAGGCCTGTAACTCTCTTTCCCGAGATTCCCATTTTGAGGTGGGTAAACTCAACTCTAGGATTTACAGTGTAAGAAAGGCCTGAAAGCCTTGCTCTTCAAGTGGAAATGGTATATTCAAGAATGTGGGGATGTTGCCGAATGGCACCTAGGCTTTCTATTCTCCTTCGCAGCCTGAAGCAAACATTGGCCTTGCAGAGTCCTCAATTCAGCAAGATCCCCCTGGTAGCTCGGCCTGGTGCCTTAATGCCTGGCTGAGCTGACAGCCAGTGTCCACTGAGCTACTGTGGCTATTTGGCCTCAGAGCCAACTTTGCAGAACCCAAAGAAAATTTGGTCACTCCTCTGGTGGGCAGCACTCAGACAACTGGACTTCTCTGCATGTGGCCTAGACGTTTTGTCAGCTAAGTGGAAAGCAACAGGCTGGCAAAGTTAAGATGCCTTTCTCTCAGGCATGACTGCAGAAATGAACTTGTGGTGCTGACAGATCAGTCTGGACCCCTCATGGAGATACCCAAGTACCTGCTGACAGGATGACATCATGATTGTGATCAGGGACTGCAGCTGTGTGCCAGCCTCATGATTCTTGCTAACATTGACCTGTTCATCCCATGGTCAGGGAGCCACATCACAAGGGGCTTTGCTCTGCCTGCTCCTGACACACTGATCAGGTCTCAAACCCCTCTTGGGGCTATGGGTGGTGCATCAACACAGTTCACACTTACACTTACAAAGCAACTGATTCTGGCCACACCATTGTGACCCTGGGAACTCATGGGTGTCATGAACCGGGCCGGCTGGACCATCTGAGTCTGACAATGGTATGCCCTTTATCAAAAACTACTCCCAAAGCACTGATTGACTGACTTAACATTCCTCATCTCCTCCTGTCTACACACCTCTGTAAGGCTCTTTGGTCTCTGAAGACAGCTGTTTCCAGAAAAAGATCAACTCCTGTCTGCATCATGATCAGGACAAAAGCAGTGAGGGATAAATGCTGTTAAATCGACCAATTCTAAAAATCCAGGATTCTGTTCTAACATCCCTGGGGATGATGCTTCCTTCTTTCCCCAGCCAGCCTCGGAGTGTCTAGGGGAGGCAGATTTAATTCTGGTTACACCTTATGAAAATGTCTTTTCCTACTTGTATCCAGTCCTTCTGTAAAAAAAGGTCTGAGTGACAATTAAAGATGATTGGGAAAGAAAGATGAAGTTAAAGCCACGGGAATGGTACACACAGATTTTGTGGCACTGAAGCAAGAACAAAGATCCAGGCATCTGAGGAAGGAGCACCATACAACTTAAGACATTCGAGGGAGGGAGAAGCATTAATAATATCTAGTCTTCAGAATTTTCCTGAATCCTTCTTCCAGGACCATGTGCATGGTCCAGCTCACCCACCACGGAGAAGCTGAGTCTGCCATTCAGCTCCAGACACGAGAAAACATGGCTGGTCCCTGCATCTGTACATCCATGCAGAGCCCCTTTGAACATCAAGGACTAGACAAGTAAATGGAACTGGGAACTATAAGGCTTACAGCCAGGGCCCACACTGTCCATCTTCCTCCTGGTGGTGTGCATCACACGAGGGGGCTCAATAACTATAAATATGTTCCTTGTTTCCTTCCAGGGTCACTGTGTGTGCCCTTGAGATGATACTTCTTAAGAGAAAGCCAGGTACTCACTTGCCTCCCTCATGCAAACATGGTGAATTGCAGATTAGGGTGGTGAATAGAGACCTACAGCATTATGGTTTATGAAATATGTTAGATGGTACAAGAAACAAATCAACTGGATTTAGCCCTACCCCCACTGGTCAGAATAATTGAAGTGGCTTGTGAGTGGTGTCTTCATGGGGGAAATGTTTCAGAATTTGCTAGGTGAGGTGGATTTGTTCAGAGGTAATTCTTGGTGGCATTTCCACATGCTTCCGAGTATCTAATGTGGCCATCAAGATCAGAGGGCAGATTCGTTTCCTGGTCAGTATAAAATAGAGAACATCTCCCTCATTAGAAATATTCTGGGATAGTAAAATTTTCCTTCTCCCCTCAGAGGAGATCTGCTTATAAATAATGTCTCCCTGAGGGATAAGGTGTGAGCAGGTTTACTAACAGCCTCCTTTTAAGGCGGGGGTTTCTGGCTGGTAGAAACAGTTCCTGAAGCATTCTATTTCTCAGCTTGGCACCATTTCTGTGTGCTGTATAGCCCCTACTTGGGTTTTGGGGGGAAAAGACTGATGCACCTATACCAGGTCTCATAAAATTTATTTCTAGAAATTTATATGAGATATGAAGGCATGGAGCCACAGAAAGATGTTCATTGCAGCTTTTTCATATTATCCCCAAACTGGCACACTTGTGCTCTCTGTCATAGGAGACTATATACTCAATGTTTGGTATATTCATACAATGTTCATTAACTGCAATCAAAAGGAAAAAGCTACTGATACATTCAGCAATGTGGTTAAACTCAGAGAACATTATGCTGAGTGCAACACTGCACAAAAAGAGAATATGCTCTAAAACCTTATTTATTTAAAATTTGAAAACAAGCCAAATTAAGTTATCATGAAAAAATAAGAATAAGTCATTGCATTTGATGAGTGAGGGTTAAGGATATACCAGAAAGGCAGAAGGGCCCTTTCCAGGGTAATGGTCATGTTCTGTATCTTGATAGGATTTGGATTATACAGGACAATGCATCTGTCAGAACACATCAAATGATATTCCCAACTTTATTATATTTCATTGTAAATTTATCTCGAAAAATTTTTAAAGGTAAGTTGGCAATATGTTAAATGTTTATCATGTCTTGCACATGATATACTCATTTAAAGTAAGGGAAATTAACAGTAGCAATAGAATTTTTAAGATATATGATATAATTCTAAATGTGTTCATATAATCATAGAAAAATCTAGAAATATATATGCCACATTTACAAAGTTCATGTTTTACAATTAAAAAGACATGCAAAGATGTGAGCATTTAAAAATACCAACTGCTATTTTAAAAGATGCAATCTAACATATAAAGGTGAAATATTCTTTTTTGTTTGTTTACTTTACAAAAGTTTTAGTTGTCATGGCTGCTGTAATAAATTATCATAAAATGTGTGGCTTAAAACAACACAGATTTATTATTTCATGGATCAGAAGGTCAGAAATGTAACACAAATCTCACTGGGCTAAAATCTAGGTGTCCACAGGGCTTTGTTCATTTCTGAAGGCTATGAAGAATAATCCTTTTTTTTTTTTCAGCTTCCAATTTCTTCATTTATTATCCCCTGTCAGCATATTCAAGCCAGATCATTGTAGCTCTAATTATTTCATATGTACATATCCTTCTCTGCACAGCAGGAAAAGTTTTCTGATTGTAAGAACCCATGTGGTTTGATTGGGGCTGCCAAGATAATCCAAGATAACCTCCCATCTGAAGATTCCTACAACTCTCTTTCACCATGTAAAGACCATATTACAGATTCTAGGAATTATACAGAGTTTTGTTTCTGTTGGTACATAATTCTCAAGAACCTTAAAGATCTCCATGTATGTCATGGAGAATTATTCCATAGACAAGAGCTCCTCCACAGATCTTTCCTACATAATTACATATCTATTTTTTAATCTCTGCTGAGATGGCTTGGGGGACTTGTGAATCACACATTTAATTTCTTCCAAGAACCTTTTATGTGAATGAATATTCTGACTTTTTGTTATTTCTGAGGCATCAGAAAAAGGTTATTAAGCCACATTCTTGATCACTTCTACAAAGCACACTTTCCTGACAGTGGATCTTCTAATTTTAGCATCTTTTGCAACCTGAATAAGCTAAGAATTGTTCAGATCATCAAGTCCTAATTTTTTTATGTTGTTGTTGAGCAGTTCTTCTATGGGTTTATCTCTTTCCTCACATATTTTACTCTAAGAAACAAAAACAAACAACAAAACAGCTGAATCTTTATCACTTGCTTACTAATATCCTTAGCTGTACACCCAAAAAGTTTTGCTTTCCGCATATCTTCAGGAAGAATTTCACTAAGCTCTCTGCCTTTACTTAATAAGAATCCTCTTTCTCCAGTTTCCCAAAACATGTTCCTGGTTTCCTTCTCAGTCTTCACCAGCCACACCCTTAACCTCCATATTTCTACTGACATCTGTTCAGCATGACTTATGTATTCTCTAAGACGATATAGGCTTTCTCTCCCATGTTCTTCACCTCCTTCCGAGTCCTCACTAGTAGTCTTTGCACATTTCTACTAACAAACTGCTCCAGCCCATGTAGACAGTTTCTATCATTCTACTTAAAATTCTTCTCATTGCCCAATTTATCTCTGTCCATTGCTCAATTCCTAAGCCACTTCCACCTTTTTAGGAATGTGTTATAGCTGTATAATAACCAAGATTTATATTGCTCTTCTATTGCTGCCATAACAAATGACCACAAATTTAGTGGCTTAAAACAATTCAGATTTATTATCTTACAGATATGTCAGTAAGAAGTCTGACAAGGGTCTAGACCAGTGATGGCGAACCTATGACACGCGTGTCAGAGGTGACACGCGAACTAATTTTTTTGGTTGATTTTTCTTTGTTAAATGGCATTTAAATATATAAAATAAATATCAAAAATATAAATCTTTGTTTTACTATGGTTGCAAATATCAAAAAATTTCTATATGTGACATAGCACCAGAGTTAAATTAGGGTTTTTTAAAATGCTGACATGCCGAGCTCAAAAGGTTCGCCATCACTGGTCTAGACTGACAAGGGCTAAAATAGAGGTTGCAGTGGGCTCTCATTTTTTTCTGGAGGTGATAGAGGAGAAGCTATTCCCATGACTCTTGCCAATTCTACATATAACCATATTCCTTGTCCGCTTCTCCGTCTTCACAAAGAGTGAATCTCTCTGTGACTATCCTCCTCTCGCCACCTGAGAACAGTTCTTCACTCTAAAGCTCATTGATGATATTGGTGGCACCCAAATACCCAGGATATTCTCCCCTTTCAACCACCCTAGCTTTATTATATGCGTAAAATCCCTTTTGCCATGGAAGAAAACACATTATAGGTTCTAGAGATTAGGATATAAACAGGTTTGAATAACTATCATATTATTATCACTTATTTTTTATTGTCGCTTATTATTGTGAATCTATAATAATAAAAGCATAATATGCTAATTAGACCAGATGTCCTTCCGGATGACCTTCTGGATGAAGCCAGGGCTGCGAGGCAAGCCCGGGTCCCAGGTGCCAGAGGGAAGCCGGTGCCAGCAGCCTAGTCTTTCATGAATTTTGTCATCGGGCCTCTAGTAGTAATATAAAACTCTGGCATTAAAAAGCTCATTTTAACATCAAAATCAAGTAAAATGCAATGCGTTCTTACTTCTTTTCCTCTTGAGTTTTCCCAAAGTAGAGTTGTTTCCAAGATTCACATTATCTAGAAAATAAGAGGTTGATGTAAGGAAATAAGTTACTAACTAAAAGTTGCCCAACCTAGGGTCATTCATACTACAAAAGGCTTGAGTTTTTAAAGATGTTTGGACTATCATTCTTTTCTTCCTTCTAAAGCAGTGGTTCTCAACCTTCTGGCCCTTTAAATACAGTTCCTCATGCTGTGACCCAACCATAAATTTATTTTCGTTGCTACTTCATAACTGCAATGTTGCTACTGTTATGAATCATAATGTAAATATCTTATATCAGGATGGTCTTAGGCGACCCCTGTGAAAGGGTCGTTAGACCGCCAAAGGGGTCGCGACCCATAGGTTGAGAACCACTGTAAAGGGACTAAAAATCTTCTGAATTGAGAAGTAGGAGTCCAGGATGGGCCCAGGGTCTTCCTTTAGTTCTCAATAGGATCTTGAAAAGCACTCTTAAATATCTCTATACTTCAATTAATTCAGGGATAGAACCAGTTATACTATGCTGTCTAGGTCTAAAGATATTTTTGTGAGAATTAAATAACACCTTATGTGCAAAAGTTTGTAGGAAAACAATATATAAATTAGTGACATGCTGGAGTATATCCATCAAAAATATGTGCTGGGTTAAGAGCAGTTGATCTGAAGTCTTTCTTACTGACAATTAAATGGCAGGATCAGTTATCTTTCAGGTCTTTCTAAGGTTATGAAAAAAAAATGACACTATTATCTACTAGCAGAAATACACTCTCCCTTTTTTTGGATTCTGGGTGAGGCCAGGATGGAAATCACTGTATAAATACAAAATCTATCACTAATATACTAATGTAGTAAACTAGATACCGTCATTTTAAGAGTATAATTCTACTATAATCAACTATGTAAAGTCAACAGGGCTCGTCCTGTTAAACACCTCTTTATAATGAGAGATGTTTTGCCTCCATGCTGTTCCCAAAAGGGGCAGGTTGAGAAAATGCCGAGAACAGGATAGTGGGATGGACTGGACCACCTGTCACACTCTACCTGGGGTCTATGCTGCCTGTAGATCTACCCTCATGACTTGACCTTTGGACAGCCTTACCTATTGTGTCACATGCTTCACTACTTTCAGTCCTTGCTTCCAGACTTCCTGGCATGTCGTTTGAGAAGCACGTAACACAGGCATGCTTATCATTTCCACCTGCTGGTAGCTCTGCTCCTGGAACAAAATTGTGATTTATGAAGACTTTTCATTTGCCCTAGGGACCTTCTTTTATGTAAATTTGTTGATCCCCATTTTCTACTGACTCCTTCAAAATCTTCCATTGATCCACCCTATATTTGATTCTTCCTTTAAATCTCCTATTTTTCTCTCTTGTCTTTTCTCTTTATCAGAACTCTGTTTCTTTAAGTCATGGTTACCTTGTCCATCGCAGGGTAGTGAGCTAGAGGTAAGCTCTTCAGATTCTCCTTCTCTATCCATTTGGGGAGCTTCTAGTTCACCAGATACTAAAGAAAAATAAGAAAGTTACAGTTTATGGATCCTGAGACAGTGATTAGGGAAGAGTTCCTGGTGCTCTCATGCAGCACACTGATATTCTGAGCTAAGATGGGCTGCTCCCTCAGAAAAAATATAACTGCTCCAATAATCACACTTCAGATCGCACAGAGCCATGATTTTCCTATCTTGTACACCTTATTCTGCTTCCTATACTTTTATTTTTCTACTTGCAGCCTTAAGAGAAATAAAGATTATATTCTTTCAGGAAAAAACTAACTGTACTTTGAAAATTGTATACGTATCTACCAGAACCACTGTTAAACTCAGGCCAATTGACTAATGACTGCTTACATCACCAACCACATCAGTTGCAGCCTTACACTTTGAAAATCAGCCAATCAGCAACAACCACACTCCATAAAGCCTGAATCTATGGCTAAATGCTAGTCTGTTTATAATCACTCCTATTTCTGAAACTCTGCAGTCCCTGAACTACATGCTTCCCAAAACTCCACATAAAATCAATAGTTTCCATTTTTGAAGAAACAGTGTCCAATAAATACACTGCCTCCTCCTACTATGTGCTTTGTTAAGCAAGAAATAAGTCCCTCTTTTAGCTTCAGATATTGTATATAGATGATCCCTTCACAGTGGAGATCCCACCAAGATCACCTTAAAGCAGCGGTTCTCAACCTGTGGGTCGCGACCCCTTTGGGAGTCAAAGGACCCTTTTACAGGGGTCACCTAAGACCATCGGAAAACACATATATAATTACATATTGTTTTTTGTGATAAATCGCTATGCTTTAATTATGTTCAATTTGTAACAATGAAAATACATCCTTCATATCAGATATTTACATTACGATTGATAACAGTAGCAAAATTACAGTTATAAAGTAGCAACGAAAATAATTTTATGGTTGGGGGTCACCACAACATGAGGAACTGTACTAAAGGGTCGCGGCATTAGGAAGGTTGAGAAGCCCTGCCTTAAAGACTTTTGCTTAGAAAGGCCCTGTGGCACCCTTGAACCAATAGGGGTAAATCCTCAGTCTCAACAACTACTTGAGCTCTAAGCAGTTTCATGAGCTCCTATTCCTGAATTTATCTTATTATTTAATGATGTGTATACAATTAGATGCAAAGTAATTAGTTGGACATTTGCTTTGGAAGTGTACCATTTAGCAAATATTTCGGTAATGTGCTTATTCTTTTACTACTTCATTACTCTCTCTTGTCTATTGTAAAAAGTCTTATTTCACATGTATTTGTTCTTTACTTTCCTGTGCTTCTTGAATGTTAGGAGTGATCCAAAGCAAATGGAAGGAGGCATAGACCTGATAAGTCCCTTATCCAAGCCAGTCCAAGAGACTAATTAATAGGTATAGGTCCATTAGACAGTTGCCAATTTGTACAAAGATATTTGGTCATTTTGTCTTGAGTCGCTCACCAACCTTTTCATGAAGGCACTTGACATTCTGTCAAATGGTAAAGAAAATAATTTTGTTTAATACATAATCTGAGGTCAATTATTATCATATAATTGACCATATGTCTCTTTTTAAATCTCTGCTTGGTAGATGAGCTCAGTACTCCATTTACATGCAGGACACCATTCACACTTATGATTGCATGTTGTGACCTCCTTGCTGTTTGTCATGAGCTTGTCTTTGCCAAAGCTACTATCTCCTACTGGCAGAACTCCACTTCCTTTTTGTACTCTCACTGTGATTCTAACTGTGGCACATCCTATATAATAAAAGGGTAATATGCAAATTGACCCCAACAGCAGAACGACCAGTCGCTCTGACATGCAGTGACCACCAGGGGCAGATGCTCAACACATGAGCTGCCCTCTGGTGGTCAGTGCATTCCCACAGGAGGAGCTCTGCTCAGCCACAAGCCAGGCTGTCGGCTGTGAGTGCAGTGGCGGTGGCGGGAGCCTCTCCCGCCTCCTGGGCAGCACTAAGGATGTCTGACTGTGGCTTAGGGGAGCAGCCCTAAGCCACAGTAGGACATCCCTGAGGGCTCCCAGGCTGCCAGAGGGATGTCTGACTGACGGCTTAGGCCCCATCCCCTGGGGAGCGGGACTAAGCTGGCAGGTGGACATCCCCCGAGGGGTCCTGGACTGCGAGAGGGCGCAGGCCAGGCTGAGGAACCCCCCCCTCCCCCGCCAAGTGCACAAATTTTCATGCACCAGGCCTTTAGTATCTTAATAAATGACAAAACTTCACAGACAATGATTTTGGGTTTCGGTTGGGAAACAATCTCCCCTTCCTTACCTGGCTCACGTCTGGGTGGGGAGCTCAAGTCTTCCTCAAGCTCTTCTCCATCACAGGGCTCCCAAGAGGCATTATTGTCCACTGCAGAAAGAGTTGAACTCCCTCAGAAGTCTCAGTACACAATGAGGAGGAAATGGAACAGCTGCTCCAAGGACCTCACCTGAGATCCAACCAAGCCTGGTCTGCCTCTGTTCCCATTTCATTTACCTCCCTTTCCTGCTATCTGCTTCTCAGTTACCTATAGACCTGTCTCCAGACATTTCTCCTCTGCATGAGGGGTATATTTGTGCATCTTTGATTTTGTGGGCTCTGTTCTCACTGACTTCTATCTCGTTGATTTTCTATCTTCTTTTTTCCTCAATGGTGATCTTGATCTCTTCTTTTGAGCTTATTTTCTCTAGTTCTATTCTCCCAGGTCTCTCCAATCCCTACACCAGAATTTAGTCCTTGGCTCACTGTCTGTATTTCTTCCCTCCCTATTGACATGCTTTATTTGTGAAGTAGAAGTGTCTCTGCATCAAGCCTTGTTCTTTCCCTGGGAGCCTGCAAGTTCCCCTTCGGAATCCAACTGTGTCACCACATTAACCCCCACCAGCCTCACACAGCCATCACTTGTAGTGAAATACTTGGGACATGGGTCTCTGCTCATCCTCCTACTTTGATCTTGGGGGAAACAAGTATCCCATTTCCTTATCTCTAAGGAGGGACAGTAACAGTTTCCCTGGTTAAGTCCTAAAGTTTTGTGAGGAAGTCACATTTGACCAAGTACTTTGAAAGAAAGAAGTGCTATGTAATCCAATAATTTTATGAAGAATATGTGGAAGAAAAACTGTAATTTAATCTTGAGACTCATTGGTTCTTTTTTTTAACAAGCAGATCTCGGAACCATGTTTCTTTTGAAGCCTACCCAAGGTTACAGCAACATACAAATATTTTTATTAATCACTAAATAAACACTACAGTTTAATACTTTATATAGAAAATAAAGGTGGGCAGAGTTAAAATCACAGTATTGAGTCTTTTGTATCAATAAGAATAAAGAATGTGAAAAATGAGATCTTCCCTTGGTATTCATCTACCACAAAATGAGTAGGTAACACACCTATTCTAACACTAAGGGTCCTGCTGTTCAGCTCTGGATTTAGCCTCCTGACACCCTGCAGCCAAAGGCTAGCAATGCCCCCTTCCTTACCTGGCTCACATCTGGGTGGGGAGCTAAAGTTTTCCTCAAGCTCTTCTCCATCACAGGGCTCCCAAGAGGCAATGCTGTCCTCTGCAGAAAGAATTGAACTTCATCAGAGGTCTCCGTATACAACCAGGGGGAATCATGGCAATAAAACTCATAGTGAACATGTGGGAAGCTCAGGTATCCCCTAATTGGGACTGTCCATGTCCCAGACCATCCTGGTCTGCCCTTTGCATTCACCTGTCTTGAAGATCAGCCCTCCTCTATCACTGTCCCCAGAGGCTGAGAACCATCCACTGTCTCCTCCCTTTAGTACATCTAATCTTCTACTTCTTTCCCAGCTCCATTGCCTTTGCACATTGTTTCCGTCTCTGTACTGTTTCCTGCTGCCAGTGTCCCTAGATGCTTCTAGTTGTTCATGATGTGTTTCTGTTTCCCTTGCTCCTATATCTTTTCTCTTGAGCTCCTGACACTGCTCTTTGTTGACTTTTCTCATCTCACTTATCTCCATCTCACTCTCTTTTAGGAAAGGCATCCTTGAAATAGTATAATATAACTAGATCAGGGAATGGGATAAGGAACAGAATAAGCCAAGGCAATACCACCAAACAAAAGAAGAGTTGTCCAAAGGCCCACATATAAAAGAAATATCAGAGCATTGAAATAACTGAAAATATTTATACTCACTAGAGATGAGGCAGAAGTCATAAGTTAGAGCCCCATGATGAATGGAAGGCAAAGAAATCCCCAAGAAGGAAAACTGATTTAATCTAAGGGCAACAAAGGTCACCAGGTTTATGTGGGAAAATAATATTCTCTGATTTACATCTTACAAATAGCAATCATGCTAATGTGAAGAAAATGGGTGGGCTGGGAGCAAGAGAAATGGGAAACTCCACACCCAGACGTGAGCCAGGTAAGGAAGAGGGGAATCCAACCCTGGAGAACGAGGAGTTTCTGTCTTATGAAATAAAATGTTGGTTTCAGTCTTGGAAGTGTCAGTTCCTGAAAGACATACAAATGGACAAGGTCTTGGGATAAATGCCATCAGTTCATAGATTGATGACCTTGGGAGACAAGTCTGCTTAGCAGACATGCTCTTCAGACTCACTCTGTTACTGGAGAGTAGCTGAGGGTGCCAGGGAGAAGAGCATTATTCTGAGTATGTTATGGGCACTACTCTACCTGGGGAGACCTTAATCTGAAAACTCACTACTGCCATGCCCACTTTTGCTGGAAGATGCTTCTGTCTAGTGACTTGTACTTGAGCCTTACAGGATTCCAACTCCTCTCCTTTGCTCCTTATATAGCAGTTTTCACTCTTTGTTGATTCTAAAACTATTTTGATAGAACTCTTTTTTTCACGTAGTTCCCTTTGTGCTTCCTTCCACATTACTTTATTATTATTTTGGGTATTTATTAGCCTCTCTATGTAATTTTTCTGGTTTTTATCTCTGTATCTGATTTCTTTATTGAAATTATACCTTTTCTACTTTGTCTGCCAGTTTCTTCTTTTCTATCTCTGAGTCTGGATGCCTGTAAAAACTTCCATTATCCTATCTAATAAAGAGGTAAGATGCAAATTGACCATCACTCCAACACACAAGATGGCCTCCCCCATGTAGACACAAGATGACTGGCAGGGGAGGGCAGTTGGGGGGCATCAGGCCTGCAGGGGAGAGCTATTGGCGGTGACCAGGCCTGCAGGGGAGGACAGTTAGGGGTGACCAGGCTGGCAGGGGAGCAGTTAGGCATCAATCAGGCTGGCAGGGGAGTGGTTAGGAGGTGATCAGGCTGGCAGGCAGAAGTGGTTAGGGGAAATCAGCCAGAAATCCAGGATTGTGAAAAGGATGTCCGACTTCCGGTTTAGGACCCAGACTGGAGAGGGTGCAGGCTGGGTTGAGGGACACACACACCCCCTATGCACAAAACTTGTCTACCGGGCCTCTAGTTTTATATATTTTCCTCATTATCACAGGTCCCTTCTCCCAACTGACAACAATTTTTCCATTTCACATGGACCACAGTGCCAGAGAGCCTTCCCTAATCAGTTCTATCCTAACAGTCTAAAGAGCCTTTCTAAATTGCGAGCCTCTCAATCATTCACAAAACTTATTTCTGTGTTCCTGGTATTTCCAGAAGAAGGCTGAAAATGATCTCCTTACCTGATTTGCCATAACTTGCTTCTATCTGCATTTTGCATGCATTTAATGAAATTGTCCAGGCAAAGGCCCCAGCCTGCCTTTGGCATATTCTGTCTTTCTCTGTTCTCCATGAAGGGATCCCCACTCCTCCCAGTAGTGAGCTCACCTTTATTCTTTGTCTCTCTCACAGTTTGGAGACAGCAAAACAACCCCATCTGCATGAATGTGAATGTGAGGACGAAGATGGGAGGTTGGGGAAAAGGAGAGATTTTTTCCCCCTGCTGACCAGAAGACAAAGATATATCGAGGAAGCTGGGAATTTAAATCATAATTACCTTCTCCCTCAGCAGGTTGTAGTCTAAGTACCTTCTGTACTTCTCCTCCATTAGTCATTTCTGAAGCTTTGAGATCACAGGTCACTGCAGAGAAACAAGAACATGATGGACCCTGGAGGGCGATCAGAAACAAACCTCAGGGTGTTTGTGCCCACCGTGATGAGGAAGTGGTGAGTCTTCCCCAAACATGGGTCCTGAGAGCCATGCCATCTTGTTCTGCTTTTTTGCCATCATATGACACCTCCTTCTCTCTGATTCTGTGTCCTTCCTACTGCTCTGCATCCATGCATTTCTGTTACCTCACTGTGCATTGTTTTGATAGTCAGCTTCTTCTCCCCATCTCTTCTTTTTGGGTCTAGTTTTTAGCTTTTGTTTTTTCAGGTATAGCATGTCATTTCTTCAATTATGTTTTCTATCTCTCTGATTCCAGATCTCTCTTAGCCCAGGTGGTTGGAGCATTCCTATGCTCACTCAGGGGTTTCCCTCCCCTACCCAATAACATTATTATTTTTCCTTAATTAAGGTCTTACATTGGAATCCGGGTGTACTACATGGGAACCTGCAGAATTCCTAGACTTCCTGATTCTCTTTTGACCCCCCCTGAACACCTGCAGGCTTCCCTAAACTGTCACCCTCGGTGACACACCAGGAACTCTTGTGCCACTCTTCCTTTTCTACTTTGACCTTAAAAACTGACCTGCATGCTGCATGACTTTCTGTGCTTTATATTTCCTTGTCCATGAAATAGAGTTACAATAACTTGCGAGGCTGTGTCTTAGGTTTTGTAAAGGTTAAAGGTCTTGCACAATCCAATAATCTGACAGAGACTGTCAGAAACCTTGCATCCTTGTCTTGCACACCTGTTCTTTCTCATTTTCACCCTTTCCACCTGTCTCTGCGTCTCCTATTTCTACCTCTGATTGTTGCTGATGGAATCTCTTGGCACTTCTCTTTGTCCCAATTTGTTTCTTTTACCATGTCTGTTCCCACCTCCCTATTCTCCCTCCTGCTTCCCTAAGCCGTGTGTTATGTCTTTTCCCATCTGATTCTGCAGCTTTCCAGAACTATCAGTCAGAAAAGGCACCTTTGAGATAGTATGTAATTTCCACATAAATTTATCGAATTAATGAGCAGAATGGAAAGCAGAGTGGGGCAAAACAAACAAACACTGGTTCCTGGCACAGAGCTACACATGTGCAAAGGCTCAGATGAGAAAGCGTAGTCAAAAAATCAAAATTCCTGGCATTTACCCAAAGTTTTGAAGTGATAGCAGGGGACGCAGGAAAGGAAAAGAAAGAATTGGTATTTCTCTATACCAGTGGTTCCCCACCTTTTTTTTGGCCATACCCTACCTAAGCATCTGTAAAATCCTAATGCCTCTCCTGTGACCTATGATTCTTATTATTCAAAAAGTGAACTCCTATTCACATGGAGGAAACCTAAAAGTCCATTAACTTGGTCTAAACAAGCTTCCAAAAAACATGGCATCCACGAAAGAGAAAAATAAAAGAACAAAAGGAAAGTTGAAGTGCTGAGGAAGAAATCACTAAGAAATTGTTTTAAAAAATAATATGAAGTGATATGAAAAAATAGCAAATAAAGTTTCAAAACATATAATAGAGAACTGAAATGCATAAAAATGTCACAATATATATTTATATACTGTATATGAGGGCCCGAGAACCATAAGAAATGCAAAAACTTCACTGTTAATAACTCACTCTCAATTGCCCCCCTTAAAAATAAAATTGCCCCCCTTAAAAATAAAATTGCGAGAGAGAACCAAGATGGCGGCATAGGTTAACGCCGGAGTTTGCTGCCTTGAACAACTACTTCAAAAGTGAAACTAAAAGACGGAACGGACATCACCCCGAACCACAGGAATGCTGGCTGAGTGGAAGTCCTACAACTAGGAGGAAAGAGAAACGCATACGGACACTCAGAGGAGGCGCAGTGCTGAAGTCAAATTCTGAGGTGCGGAGTGCGCGGAGCGGGCTGGCGGCGGAGGGCGCGGTTGGCGTTTTCAATCGGGAGGGAGTCGCAGACTCTGAGCTCCAGATACGGGCGAGTCTTTAGGGACCCAGACTCAAACGGGAGAAGTGGGACTGTCTGGCTTCGGTCAGAGCGAGTGCAGCTTTCTCTCCGAGGTTTGCAGTGGGTGCTGGGACTCAGAGAGGCAGAGCCCCTGGAGACAGGACTGAGAGCCGCCATAACTGCTCTCTCCGGCCCACCCTGTTGATCCTGTGCGACCCGCCCCACCCAAGCCCTGCACAGAGGCATTTGCCGGATAGCCTCAGGCAAAGGCCAGATTAGCACCTCCCTAGAGGACAGAAGTTCTCTCACTGCAGACACAGCTGATTCTCATAGCCACTTGGCCTGGAGGTCAAACCCTCCCTGGAATTAGCTACAACAATCAAGGTTTATAGGACTGCGCACAAAGACCACTAGGGGGTGCACCAAGGAAGCATAACAAAATACGGAGACAAAGAAACAGGACAAAATTGTCAATGGAAGATATAGAGTTCAGAACCACACTTTTAAGGTCTCTCAAGAACTGTTTAGAAGCCGCCGATAAACTTAATGAGATCTACAAGAAAACTAATGAGACCCTCGATCTTATATTGGGGAACCAACTAGAAATTAAGCATACATGGACTGAAATAACGAATATTATACAGACTCCCGACAGCAGACCAGAGGAGCGCAAGAATCAAGTCAATGATTTGAAATGCGAGGAAGCAAAAAACACCCAACCGGAAAAGCAAAATGAAAAAAGAATCCAAAAATGCGAGGATAGTGTAAGGAGCCTCTGGGACAGCTTCAAGCGTACCAACATCAGAATTATAGGGGTGCCAGAAGATGAGAGAGAGCAAGATATTGAAAACCTATTTGAAGAAATAATGACAGAAAACTTCCCCTACCTGGTGAAAGAAATGGACTTACAGGTCCAAGAAGCACGGAGAACCCCAAACAAAAGGAATCCAAAGAGGACCACACCAAGACACATCATAATTAAAATGCCAAGAGCAAAAGATAAAGAGAGAATCTTAAAAACAGCAAGAGAAAGAAACTCAGTTACCTACAAGGGAATACCCATACGACTGTCAGCTGATTTCTCAACAGAAACTTTGCAGGCCAGAAGGGAGTGGCAAGAAATATTCAAAGTGATGAATACCAAGAACCTACAACCAAGATTACTTTATCCAGCAAAGCTATCATTCAGAATTGAAGGGCAGATAAAGAGCTTCACAGATAAGGAAAAGCTAAAGGAGTTCATCACCACCAAACCAGGATTATATGAAATGTTGAAAGGTATCCTTTAAGAAGAGGAAGAGGAAGAAAAAGGTAAAGATACAAATTATGAACAACAAATATGCATCTATCAACAAGTGAATCTAAGAATCAAGTGAATAAATAATCTGATGAACAGAATGAACTGTTGATTATAATAGAATCAGGGACATAGAAAGGGAACGGACTGACTATTCTTGGGGGGGAAAGAGGTGTGGGAGATGTGGGAAGAGACTGGACAAAAATCGTGCATCTATGGATGAGGACAGTGGGTGGGGAGTGAGGGCGGAGGGTGGGGCGGGAACTGGGAGGAGGGGAGTTATGGGGGGGAAAAAAGAGGAACAAATGTAATAATCTGAACAATAAAGATTTAATTAAAAAAAATAAAAATAAAAAAAAAATAAAATTGCCCCCCTTAAAAATAAAATTGCCCCCCTTAAAAATAAAATTGCCCCCCTTAAAAATAAAATTGCCCCCCTGTGGGGCGTGTGCCCCACGTTGGGAACCACTGCTCTATAATGACAAGAAAGTCAAGCTTTAATTACAAAATAGAGCATTTAAATACTAATTACCGTCTCCATCATAAGGCAGTAACTTGGGCATTTCTTCTATTTCTCCTCTTTCATCCATTTGTAGATCACCAAGTTCCAAGGGCACTAAAGAGAGAAACAGGACCATGATGAACAATTGAGAGTCACCTGAACTCTACCTCGACGTGGTTATGTCCAGAGTGCATCAGAGCTCTGATGTTCAGAGTGTGGGAGAACTGCTCCTTGGGGATAAAAGCATGTTGCACCAAAAAAAAACTTTGCTCTGAACCCCTGAGCACTTTGCTAGGCCTGTTTCCCTTTCTCCTCTTTTTTATCCCTCATCCCTCTGACCCTATTTCTACACATTGCTGCATCTGCACGACGAGGCTATTTGTGGATCCCTTTGACTATAACTTTCTATCCCTGACTTCTACCATCTCTGCATTTCTGTCTTCTTCCTCCATGATATTCTTCAGCTTTTTGCTCCATTGTAGTTCTACTTATTCTTTTAACTCACTTCCTCTTTGTTTTTCCTATACATAGTATTTCATTATTCCCATTCAATCCCTAAAGAGTGAGTTTAAAATTCTCTTTCTTCCCAAACTCTAAACTGGTAGTATTTAGCTTTCATATACATTTAGATCAAATTCAGCTTAATTAGACAACTCCATTGGATTCCACAAATCTACATATTTATTATTTTGTGCTCTTCAATTGTCCTCCCAGGAGACCCTTCATTAAGGTGCTGACTCCTCCTTTCCTCCTTGCCTCCACATGCCCAGGGAGAGCAACCAGAGAGAAAGAGAAAAAGTGTGAGCTTATGTCTGAGGGAAGGAAGGGAAGCTTCCCTTGGATACAGAAAGTCAAACAAATATAGTGAGGTATTTAGTCATTTACAGCATGATTACCTCCCCCATTGACTGGAAGCAGTTTTGGTATCTCTTCAGAATCACCTTCACTAGTCCTTTGGAAAGCTTCGTGCTCACAGGAAACTGAAGAGAAACATGGAAATGACCAACCAGTCATGGTGACCTGGGCATAAACTCAGAGAGCTCAGCTGAATTCCGGTCGTCCATTCAACCAATCAGAGTGTAATATGCTACTGATATGCTAAGCCCGCTCAACCACTCCCTATGATGTGCACTGACCCCCAGGGGGCAGACAGTTGACTGATTGATCAGTTGCTATGACATGCACTGATGACCAGGGGGCAGATGCTCCAACTGATAGGTTAGCTTGCTGCTGGGGTCCGGCTGATCAGGACTGAGGGAGATGGGCCGGACACACCCTGGAGCCCTCTTGCAGTCCCTCCCCAGCTGGCCAACCTCCTGCGTCCCTTCCCAGCCCCGATCATGCACCAGTGGGGTCCCTTGGCCTGGCCTGTGCCCTCTCATAATCCAGAACCACTCAGGGGATGTCAGAGAGCCGGTTTCAGCCTGATTCCACAGGCCAGGCCGAGGGACCCCACTGGTGCATGAATTCATGCCCCGGGCCTCTAGTAACATTATAAACAAAGAGCATAATACTTAGTTTTTATTCTGTAGGGAATAGAAAGGGTGGGTAGGTATAAATTCAAGTCTTTAGTATTAATAGATATAAAAAGCACCTTCTTTCTTTACATATTTGCACTAGAATATACATTTAGAAACATTAATATGACTCATGAAGTTTTATGGCACACTGAATCTTTTGACAGTGGAATGTGTTCACAATTTGACGCATCAGGAAATGCCACTTCTGAAGTTAGCCACCTGCAGCCCAGAGCTGCCAATTTCCCCTTTCTTACCTGGTTCATGTCTCCGTGGGGAGCTCAAAGCTTCCTGGGGCTCTTCTCCATCACAGGTTACACAACAGGCCTTTCTGTTCTCTTCAGAAAGAATTGAAATTCCACTGGCATCTCAATTTATGACCAAGAAGGAATCACCACAAGAAAATAACGAGAAAACCAAGAAGGTTGATAATCTGGAATGCCCCATTCTGCAAAATGACCCGACCTAAAGGTTAACTTTGCTTCAGTAGTTTTCCTACAGATTGAGAATGATTCACTCATCATGGGGAAAAGTTCTCATTCTCTTTATTTTCCCTTCCCATTTCATTCTGTACATTTTATCAAGATCTGCCTGTTTCTTTCTGCTGGTGTCTCTTGGAGTTTCTCTTTCTCTTGGTGTCTTTCTCTCCTCTCCTCTGCTCCTTTTGTCTCTTGCTTTCTGTGATACTGCTCTTTCTCTCCTACCCTTTGTCTCGCAATTGTTCTTTCTACCTCTCTCTCTCTCTAAAAAATAAAATAAAGTCTTCTCTGAGAGAGTCTGTTTTAAACAAGTTTTAACCAGACTAGAAAGGGTAATTGGATGGTAGTGGAACAAAAAGACTGTTCTAAAAAGACATATGAGAAGGCTCAAAAATGAAAGAAAAATGTAACAATTAAAATGATTTGGAAAGAAGGTTTTTGCTATGTTGAATAGTGTAGGAGGCAAGTAATGAGGCTGGGGAAATAGGCAGTGGCTCATTGTGAATGACTCTGGATGCCGCTGAAATACTTACTTAATCTTCATCTATTAATAAGGTAAATACAAAAATAATACAATCTAATTTTTATTTTCAAATGTTCTATCTAGCTAAAATGTAAAGAACTTATTTCATGGGAGCAAGATTAGAAAGAGGAGATGAGCAGGTGGCTGTTGTTCTGAGAACCATGACTCAGATCTGGATTAGAGACTTGTGCATGGGGATGTGAGAGAAGGACAGGTGGGAGATATTCTGAAAATCAAATGACTAAGTTAAGCGGGACACGGGCATGTACTTGAGGGCAAGAGCAGTCATGGTGGCTCCTAGGTTTGAAAAACCATGGGACAATAATGATCCCTTACTGAGAGAAGAATGCTGAGCAGGGCTTAGGTCAGGGCTTAGATCTCTGCTATGGAATCATGTGCACTAATAAATGTTACAAAGAGAACTCTTTTAATACATCCTGACAGCTGCAGAAAAAAAAATTATATTCCTAAAATATGAGAACCTAATATATTGCTTTATTTAGAGTCTGACTATACAAGAGAATTTTAAAACATAAATACCAGACTTTTAAAAAATATTTTATTGGTTTTTTACAGAGAGGAAGGGAGAGGGATAGAGAGTTAGAAACACTGATGAGAGAGAAACATCGATCAGCCTCCTGCACACTCCCCACTGGGGATGTGCCCGCAACCAAGGTACATGCCCTTGACTGGAATCGAACCTAGGACCCTTCAGTCTGCAGACCGACGCTCTATCCACTGAGGCAAACCGGTTAGGGCCAGACTTTTATTTTGTCAGATTCAGTTCCTTTGCTAGATCCTTAAGCCAGCAATGCCACTATTCAAATTTATATTTTGGAATTTCTGAGTTAGTCATAAAAACCAGTCTTATTTTGTATGTTTTACTTCTGTACTTTATTATTTCATGTTTTATTGATTTTAAAGAGAGAAAAAGAGAAAGAGAGAGAGAGAGAGAGAGAGAGAGAGAGAGAGAGAGAAAAGGAGAGGGAGTGAGGAAGAACCAAGATGGCGGCATAGGTAAACACCTGTACTTGCTGCCTCCCACAACCACATCAAAATTACAACTAAAATACAGAACAACTATCATCCAGAACCACGGGAAAGCTGGCTGAGTGGAAGTATTACAACTAGAGAGGTAAAGAAGGAAGTACACTGAGACTGGCTGGAGGTGCAGAGGCGTGGAACAGGTTGGCCTGACACCCGGTTGTGCTGCTTCTTTAATCGGGAGGGAGATGACCTCTGCAGAGGCTGCCTGGAGGAGCAAGGGATCCCAGCCCCACACCAGAGCCCCAGCCCAGGATCCCAGAACTGGAGAAAGAAGTCCCTACCGTCCTTAAGAACTACGGACTGTAAAAACCAGTGTGAATTGGGGCTGAGTGACACACAGGCTGCTAGAGACCCAGCTGCTCCTCTTAAAAGGCTGGCACCAGGAACTGCATTTACAAGCTCCCACTTCCTCTGAGCTCCAGTGCCAGGCAAGGCTCTGGGAAACCCAGACACATAAGGGGAGAACTGGACTGTCTGGTATTGGGGCAGGAACTCGGGGGCAGCTTTCTTCCCGATGGAGGTGCTTAAAGGGGTCATTGTTCTTGTGCTGAGACTTCCCCGATGCAGGGCTGACTGGTAGCCATTTCTGTTTGCTCTGCCCTGGTGATTCCCTGAGACCCAGTCCCACCCAATTTACAACCTCCAAGCTGTGCTCAATGGATTTTGCATATGAATAGTTTGTCCTTTCTCAGGCTGAAGCTGGGTCAGGGAGCCCCAAACCTATCAATAAAAGTCCCAAGAACCAGCACCAGTGCAAGCCTGCCTTGCTTCACAGTTGGGCCTCATCTGGGCATTTCCAAACCCAATACAAAGAGGAGGAATCTGCAAATTTCTCTGTAGCTCCTGTTGGATGGCCCCAGGCAGTGGCTGACTTTGTACCTATCTGGAGACCGAAGAGCCAGTGTACCAGTGGTCAGTGTGAGACCACACCAGATGACAACTCTTCACATCCATAAACATCACACTCAAGGGGCAGACTCAGTGAGCACCAAAGCCCCACTAAAGCAAGTCCTGCTCCATAAGGGTGACTCCTGCACAGCAGCTCTCCCACTGTAATCATAGCTGGTCCCCACAGCCAACTGGCCTGGAAGTCAATTCCTCCCAGTAACACCAACAGCAATCAAAGCTCAACTACAACAAAACTGTGCACACAGCCCACAAAGGAGTGCACCAAGAGTGTCTACTTCAGGTGATTGGGGAGGCTGAGCCACTGGGTCCATAGGACACCTACTACACAGGGCCACTCTATCAACTCAGGGAGACTTAGCAGCTACCCAATACACAGAAACAAACACAGGGAAGCAGCCAAAATGCGGAGACAAAGAAACATGTCACAAATAAAAGAATGGAAGAAAGCAAACTACTGGATATAGAATTCAAAAACCATTGTTATAAGGTTACTCAAGAATCTTCTAGAAACCTCTGAGGAACTTAGTGAGACTTTCAAGGATCTTAGTAAGAATGCCAAAAAAATAAAAAATAAAAATAAGGAAAAGAACCAGTCAGAAATTAAGCATACACTGACTGAAATAAAGAATAATATACAGAGATTCAACAGTAGATTAGAGGATCCTGAGAATCAAATCAATAATTTGAAATATGAGGAAGCAAAAAACACCCAACTAGAAGAGCAAAAAGAAAAAAGAATCCAAATATATGAAGATAGTGTGAACTTCAAGTGTACCAACATCTGAATTATAGGGGTGCCAGAAGAAGAGAGAGAGCAAGATACTGACAACCTATTTGAAGAAATAATGACAGAAAACTTCCCCTATGTGGTGAAAGAAATAGACTAACAAGTCCAGGAAGTACAGAGAACCCCAAACAAGAGGAATCCAAAGAGGACCACACCAAGATACATCATAATTAAAATGCCCAGGGCAAAAGACAAAGAGAAAATCTTAAAAGCAGCAAGAGAAAAACAGTTAATTACCGACAAAGGAGTGCCCATACAACTGTCAGTGATTTCTCAACAGAAACTATACAGGCCAGAAAGGAGTGGCAAGAAATATTCAAAGTGATGAATAGCAAGAATCTTCAACCAAAAATACTCTACCCAGCAAAGGTATCATTTGGAATTGAAGGTCAGATAAAAAGCTTCACAGACAAGAAAAAGCTAAAGGCGTTCATCACCACCAAACCAGTATTATATGAAATGCTGAAGGATATTCTTTAAGAAGAGGAAGAAGAAGAAAAAAGGTAAAGATAAATAATATGAACAACAAAGTGACAACAAATACATATCTGTCAACAAGTGAATCTAAAAGTTAAATGAATAAAAAATCTGATGAACAGAATAAACTGGTGAATGGAATAGAATCCGGGGCATGGAAATGGAACAGACTGATGATTCTCAGAGGGAAGGGACTGTAGGGGGTGTGTGGAAGAGATTAGACAAAGATCTTATATGCATGTATGCATTACCTATGGGCAAGACAATAGGTGGCGAGGGCTTGGGGTGGGATGGGAACCGGGTGGAGGGAAGCTATGGGAAGAAAAAAAGAGGGACATCTGTAATAATCTCAACAATAAAGATTAATTTTAAAAAAAGAAAAGGAGAGGGAGAGAGAGAGAAATATGGATAAGAGAGAGCTCACTTCTGTACTTTAAATGAGCAAAAACTGTCCCCCTTTTCATCAATGCTATTATTCTGAATAAATTTTCCACTTTAAATCAACTAAATTCTAAAAGGGAGAGAATTCATCAGGAATTTGAAAACTTAAGTTTTAGAAATATTTTGCATAAAGGCTGTATCATTGGAATTAGTGGGAAGGCTTACTTGTTATTTTGAGGCTACAGCAGTCATTTAGTGTTTATGATTAGATTAGTCTTGCAGTCATACCTTATAATTCTTAACATCTCAAAAAAATAGTGAGAAGCTTTGAGTGCCAGCAAAGCCATTTTGTCACTCCATAAATCAACATTAAAAATAACGTTCCATTCCTCTATCTGTAAAACTTTCACATTTTTCTTTTCTCATATTTCTTTTAAATAAAATTTCTCTTTATTAGTCTATATGCTTTCAGGTCTAGAATTGCCTCATTTAAGGTTCTTGAAAAAATTCAAGTGCAGATCTCTATCAGATCCCTGGTCCTCAGGTCCATGTGTAAATGGAATCTGAGATAACCTGGGTGGAGATTTGGAATATTCAGGAAAATCCAGTTGCAATCTGAGTATTTTGCAAGGGCAACTTTGATAATTAAGGACAGTTCCATCTGAAACCTCACAGCTAATGTGGTCAACTCTTGTACCCAAAGATGCTTATACCTCAAACCTACTATGTCCTAGTCCAGTGATGGCAAACCTATGACACGCATGTCAGAGGTGACACGCGAACTCATTTTTTTGGTTAATTTTTCTTTGTTAAATGGAATTTAAATATATAAAATAAATATCAAAAATATAAATCTTTGTTTTACTATGGTTGCAAAGATCAAAAAATTTCTATATGTGACATGGCACCAGAGTTAAGTTAGGGTTTTTCAAAATGCTGACACGCCGAGCTCAAAGGGTTTGCCATCACTGTCCTAGTCTGTGCCTCTCTTTCCATTATCCTCTTTCACTCTCAACCTATTTTCCATCCATTTTCCTTTCATTCTTTTTCCACGTGTTGCCTTTGTACTTCTCCCCAACTTTCCCTATTTCTTAGTATTTCTTTTCTTCTCCATCTTTCCCTTTCTAGATGTTTTTCTCTCAATTTTGATCTCTTGTCATTGAACAATTTCTTTTTTGTTTATATGTTCTATGATGTCTTATACTTTTTCCTTTTTCATCTATCTCTGACTTTACCTTGACTTTCTGTCTGCCAATACTGTTTTAACTTTTGTCTATCCAAGTGATTTAATCCTCCAGGTTCCCTTCTCTCATCATCTCCAAAAGTGTCCTCTTGGACTGTGACTACAAAACCAGGGACCTCCAACTGGACAGTTGCATAATGAGGTTTCCCATGTGAAACTGACATGTCACATTATTTCAAAGGTACTCTAAATTGTTCTGGGAAGTTAATTGAAAATTATCCCCATCCCAACCTGGAATGGTAGAATTGCACGTTCTCTTTAAAAAACTGGATCCATTCATGTAATTTGTCATATACTGTCGTCTGTCTACCTTTTCTAATTTCTCTTTTTATGTATTTCATCAATAGATACTCTGTCTACTCAGAATCTCAGATTCCTTTTCTCCTGGTCTCTCTCACATCTTTGGGCAGATAAGGACTTATAGGAAAAGTGGGGCCAGCACAGGCCTAGAATAGGAAATAAAATGTCATTTTGCTTCCACGAGGTGAAGAAAACAAAGATTTAATACTGAGTTGATAAGTTAAATGATAGTTACCTTGTCCATCATGTGGCAGCAAGCTGGGTCTATCTTCTAACCCTCTTGCATTATTCACTTGGACAGGTGAGTGTTCACAGCACACTGAAGAGAGTAACAAGAAAATGACAGAACACAGTGATCGGAGAAGGACCTCTGTGTGCTCAAGCTGAACTCTAATGTTCAAGCACCAAAGACTACACCCAACAGAGCCTTGTTCCCCTTTTTCACTGAGATGCACATTACTTGATTGAAAAACAGTTGTGTAACCAACATCACAGTCTACATTTGGAACATTTCAGGGGGTGGGTGGAGGTAAAAAAAGGGCATGGGGGGGATAAATGGTGATGGACAAAGACTTGAGTTGGGGTGGTGAACACACAATACAATCTACACTAATAAAAGAGAAACATGGTAATTGGCGTGCGACCGCTACCCTTTTCATTGGCTAATCAGCGAGATATGCAAATTAACTGTCAGCCAAGATGGCCGCCGGCAGCCAGGCAGCTTGAAACTAACATGAGGCTTGCTTGTCTCAGTGATGGAGGAAACCAACGTTCCCCGCCTGCGGCTGCAGGCCTCTGAGCCTGCAGTTTCAAACATTGTAACAAATACCTCCGGACTTCAGCCAGCAGATTCGCAACATTGTAAGCAAAGGCCAGAAACCTACTTTCAGCAGCGGAGGAGGCCTAAGAGCTGGAGCCAAGCCTCAAGCTAAAGCTGGCCAAGAATCAAAAAAAAAAAAGGAAAAAAGGAGCGTTTGGGAGTTCAGTCACCCCCAGCCTGAAAACAGCCCTCAGCCCCTCACCCAGACTGGGCAGGCACCCCAGTGGGGGAAGGGTGTGTGACCAGCTGCAAACAGCCATCATCCCCTCACCCAGGCTGGCCAGGCACCCCAGTGGGGACCCCCACCCTGATCTAGGACACCCTTCAGGGCAAACGAGCTGGCACCCACCCATGCACCAGGCCTCTATGCTATATAGTAAAAGGGTAATATGCCTCCCAGCACCAGGATCAGCATGACAGGGGGCAGCATCCAAACACCCTGATCGGCCCTGCTCTGCATGTGACAGGGTGCGGCACCCCAACCTCCCCCCCCCCCCAGGCCGTGCTCTGTGTGTGACGGGGTAGAGCCATAACCTCCCCATCGGCCCTGCCCTGAGTGTGAGAGTGATGGCGCCCCAACCCCCTGATTGGCCCTGCTCTGTGGGTGATAGAGGGTGGTGCCCCAACCCCCCCCCCCCCACGGGCCCTGCTCTGTGTGTGATGGGGTAGAGCCATAACCTCCCCATCAGCCCTGCCCTGAGTGTGACAGTGGCGGCGCCCCAATCTCCTGATTGGCCCTGCTCTGTGGGTGATAGAGGGCGGCGCCCCAACCCACTGATCCGCCCTGCTCTGTGTGTGACAGGGGACGGTGCCCCAACTCCCCTATAGGACCAACTCTGTGAGTGACAGCGGGGAGCTCCTCAACCCCCTGATGGGCCCTGCTTTGTGCGTGACAGGAGGGAGCTCCCCAACCCCCTTATGGGCCCTGCTCTGTGCATGACAGGGTACGGAGCCCCAACCCCCCTGATGGGCCCTGCTCTGTGTGTGACAGGGGGCAGTGCCCCAACCCCCAGATTGGCCCTGCTCTGTGCGTGACAGGGGGTCGTGCCGCAACCTCCCCATTGACCCTGCCTTGAGTGTGACAGGGGACGGTGCCCCAACCCCCCAATCAGCCCTGCTCTGAGGCCGACCAGGGGCTGCATCTAGGGATTGGGCCTGCCCTCTGCCACCCGGGAGCAGGCCTAAGCCAGCAGGTCGTTATCTCCCAAGGGGTCCCAGACTGCTAGAGGGCACAGGCCGGGCTAAGGGACCCCCCCTTCCCCCCGAGTGCACAAATTTTTGTGCACTGGGCCTCTAGTATACAGATAATGTTGCATAGAATTGTACACTTGAAACCTATGTAATTTTATTAACCAATGAAACCCCAATGAATTCAATAAAAAGGTAAATAATTAAATAAATAAAGGGGGGGGGGGGAGAAAGGGCCCTATGCTGTAAAGAACATGGCCTTGCCAAAAGAGTGGTCTGGTTTTTTGTCCTGGCTCTTGGAGGTAACTTCTAAACCCTTGGAAATTCCCAAGTGACAGACAGAAGTGTCTTTGTTATTCATAGTGGGCTCCTTGGACCACACCTGATAGTTTATGTTAATAAGATGACTAAGGGTAGGGCCAGCCATACTAGATAGATTTTCTGTGTGGGTTGGCCACATTAGAAAGACAAACCATGTGATGGGAGGTGGGGGCTAAAGATTCAATTCAACCCCAATTCAATCAATCATCCTATATAATAAAAGCCTAATATGCTAAGTGCCTGGTTGTCAGGTTAGTTATTCAACCTATCAAAGTGTAATACGCTAATGATATGCTAAAGCCGCTCAACTGCTCGCTATGACATGCACTGACCACCAGGAGGCAGACACTCTGACTGGTAGGTTAGCTTGCTGCTGGTGTCCTGACTGAGCGGGATGGGCCAGACATGCCCTGGAGTCCTCCCACAGTCCCTCCCCAGCTAGCCAACCTTCTGCATCCCTCCCTGGGCCCGATCATGCACTGGTGGGGTCCCTCGGTCTGGCCTGTGCCCTCTCGCACTCCAGGACTCCTTGGGGGATGTCGGAGAGCCTGTTTTGGCCTGACGGCAGAATGACTGGTCACTATGATGTGCACTGACCACCAGGAGGCAGACGCTCAATGCAGGAGCTGTCCCCAGGTGGTCAGTGCATTCCCACAGGGGGAGTGCCCCTCAGCTGGAAGCCAGGCTCATGGCTGGCGAGCACAGTGGCGGTGGTGGGAGCCTTTCCCCGCTCTGCAGCAGTTGGAAATCCCCTGAGGGCTCCCAGACTGTGAGAGGGCACAAGCCGGGCTGAGGGACCCTTCCCCCCCAAGTACACAAATTTCATGCACCGGGCCTCTAGTACTTATATAATAAAGCCCTAATAAAAACTCTGAATACCAAAGTATGGGTGAGCTTCCTGAATTGATAATATGCATGGAATATTGTTGGCAATATTCTGTGTGTATGGTTACACATCAATGTCATGTGGGTAATGCATCTTGAGAAAAATGGAAGCTTTGAGGTTGGAACCCTTTGGAGGCCTCCCAGACTAATTGTTGGCTAATTTTAATGTATCTTTTTCCTGTAATAAATGTAACTGTGAGTATAGTTTGAATTGCTTCTTATTCTCACCAACATGTGGTGTTTTCAGTCTATTTAACTTTAACATTTCTGGTGAATAAATTGTAGTCTGTTGTGGTTTTAAATTTGCACTTACCTAATGATTAATGACATAGTATACTTTATGCTCTTGTTGGTCATGTTATAGCTTCTGCATAAAGTGTCTGTTAAAGTCTTTGGTCTATTTTTTGAATTAGTGGTGCGTCTTTTTATTATTTGTTCATAGGAGTTTTTTAAATATTCCGGGTAAAACCTTTAGTCAGGTGTGTATATTGTACATATTTTCTCTCATTCTCTCAACATGCCTTTCCTTTTCTTAATGATGTCTTTGGATAGCAAAAGTTTTTAGTCTTGATGAAGTCCAATTTACCAAGTTTTTATTTTACACCCCATGTTTTTTGTGTCCCGTATAACAAAATTTTGCCTAGTTAAGTTGCAAAGATATTCTCCTGTGTTTTCTTCTAGAACAGTGATGGTGAACCTTTTGAGCTCGGCGTGCCAGCATTTTGAAAAACCCTAACTTAACTCTGGTGCCGTGTCACATATAGAAATTTTTTGATATTTGCAACCATAGTAAAACAAAGACTTATATTTTTTACATTTATTTTATATATTTAAATGCCATTTAACAAAGAAAAATCAACCAAAAAGATGAGTTCGCGTGTCAGAGGTTTGCCATCACTGTTCTAGAAGCTTCGTAGTTTTAGCCTTGACTTTTAGATTTGTGATCCAACATGAATTATCTTTTGTGAATGGTGTGAAAAAGGAGTGAAGGTTCATTTTCCCATGTTTACTCTTCCTCTTTTCAGTCTTTTTCCAGCTCATTCTACTTTTTCCATTTCTCACAATTCTAGTTCTAGTCAGGCTCCCATTGCTGCCTCTGCCTGAGAAACTATTTGTGCATCCTTAGTTATGAGGGCTTCTCTCTCCTTGGCACTCCTATCACTGTGTGTTTTTGCCTCTGTCTTCCCCAAGGAGGCTTCCAACTCTTTCCCCTTTGTCTCTAGTTTTCCCTTCCAGCTCCCTCTATGCTGTATGAGCATCCTACCTTTTCTGTCTCTTTGTGCTTTTCCTCCTCTCTCCTTTTCCATATAAACTGGAGACCTTTTTTTGGTAAATACATCTCCTTACATTAGACTCTGGACTACTCTTCTGCCCTATTTCAGGCTCCTTGGGACCTCCTTTCTGAATTATAACCACACTAGAGGCTCAATGCACGAAGATTTGTGCAAGAACGGGTCTTCCTTCCCCTGGCTGCTGGAACCGCCTTCACTAGAGCCCAGCTGCCTTTCTGCCTTCATTTGGGCCCAGAGCCACCTTTCTGCCTTTGTTCCTCCGCCTTCCCACACTGCCCAGAGGCCCGGAGCAGCTGGGGCAGTGTGGGACGTCTGCATTGTCGCCATGGCAACAATGCAAGCATCCCACCCTGCCCCAGCCAATTGGTGCCTGTGTATGCAAATTAACCCACCATCTTTGTTAACCCACTACTCCTGATAGGCTTGTGGGCATCGTGAAGGTATGGTCAATTTGCATCTTTCTCTTTTATTAAGGTAGATGACACAGCCCTTTCCCTCTCCCCATATGTGCTAGATTCACTCAGAGTCATCCAGGTGAATGTTGGACTGAGTCAACCTTACCTATTTGTTGAGATTCTTGGGCAGGTTCATTTGTCATTTCCTGGGTTTGTATTGAAGTATTTAGGTCATGAGATAAATCTTCTTCCTTTATACTCATTTGCTGCCCATCACTGAGATACTCTGAGATTCCAGCTCCAGGTAGGGCTTCACCTGGATCACATTAGGAGTATTAAAGAATTTGTTTTCTCTAAACCTCTTTTACTCTACTAATATATACTACTAATCCCTCCACCACCCCATTCTCCTTTCCCCTACCCTAGTAGTAGATGACTCTCTAAGCATACTTTTGTTATATTTTGTACTTTTTAATGTACACTTTATACTCTTAGAAATTTGTCTGTATTCAAAATAATAAGTATGATTATTAAAATAAATCCAAAGTTTATACAAATATATTAATACAGTTAAAAATGTATAATACCTGAGGTGTCCATCCAAATTAAAGAATACATATTAAATGGCAAAGCTGACTATATTCTTATGGTTTTTCTTACATTGACTATTTCTAAACATTTAACGAATAAATAAATTTATTGTAGACCATTTGGCTTAAGAATGACCTTTTCTTGGGCTTTAAAGCTGTTTCACTAACTGCTACTCTAGCCTGAAAAATAATTTTTTCTTCAGTGGGTGTCTGAGAAAAGAAATCTCAAAGTGTAGAGCACTGACTAAATATCTAGTTGTTGCAGTCAGGTATATATTATAATAACAGTAGTAAACACAGGGCAATTACTTTGTGCCATGAATTATTGGGCTACTTTGTGCCAAAAATGACTACGTGCTTTGTGTAAATAAAGTCATTTAATTCTTACAACAATATTATTTTAGATACAGATACAGATTTACAGGTGAGGCTATTCAAACACCAAAATTAAGTAACTTGCCCAAGTAAGCAAATGGTACAGCCAAGATTTAAGCCTGGCAGTGGGGTCTCAGAGTCTTCGCTCTCAACCAGTGTGGAGAGAAAGGTTTGAGTCCTAGATAGCCCAATTCCTATTTATCTGACATGCACACAGCACTAACTATCCTCCCTCATATTTCACTTCTTCTCCTGAAAAATAGAAATAATGAACCCCCTATGATAGCATTGTTATGAGGATTAAGAGAGATGCTACATATAAAGATATATCTGGGCTATAGTGACTTTGCTATAGTGACATTAATAATTTTCAGTATTAATGTCTTATGCATTATAATTCAATGATTAATTATTAGTAATAATACAAATGAAAAGGTGATTAAAACGTTAGAATTGGTGGTTATTGGTTACAATTGTACATAATTCATATGTGAGCATTAAACGAGTTGATCCATATGAAGTGCTGACCTTATACCTAGTGGTCCATAAAAGTTAAGTGTTGTTACTACCATCATTGTTAAAATTCTTACTGCCCTTTATTCTCTTCTCCCCTTTTTACTCCTTTCCTTTTTCCTCTCTTCTTTTCTACACAGCACGACTCCTTCTACTTTCTCTTCTACACACAATTATTACTCACTCTCTTCCTCTATTTTCCTATATTATTAGGCATATTTACAACAGTAGCTTCTTTTGACACACCAAAGCCTTCTTATTTGGACATGTTACAAAGGACCAAACCCTTACTCCTTCCAAGATCCACTGAATTCCTAACTCACAAATACTGCAGTCAGTTCTTCCCTTAATTCTGCCTTTTGGTCAGAGTAAGATCTCTCTTGAGTGTATGTTCCAACTTCTTAGTTATTACTTCTGTCTGAAATATTATTGGATTCCACGCCTGGTTGGTTAATTGGGAATCAACACAATACACCACTGCTCTGGCTTCCCATCTCCTTCTGCATCCCTTCCCCAGGGTATACTCTCCCCTCAGGAATGCAGTCTCCTGATCTGTGATCTCCTTTCCTCTCAGTAGATGAGAAAACATGTTTCTATCAAGTCATAATTACCTTGTTCATAGCTTTGTTGGCAGTTGAGCATCTCTGTTGTTTCTTCACCATCAATAGCTTGGTCATGGACTATACCATAAAGCACTGAGAAGAGGAAATAAATGGCAATTATAGGTCTCTGGCAGTGACCAGGGGATGCATCTCACAGTTGCACATCCAAGTACATTCTGGACTCCAGTAATTCAGAGGGAATGAAATGGACTTGAATCCCCAAATTTCATTGAAAATTATAATTACCATTTTGGAAGCTTCTGAGAATCTCAGGTAAATCACGATAAGCCTTCAGGTTAACTTTGCTGAACAAGGCATCCAGAACTGTAATGTCAAATTTCTTCTCCAGTTCACTGAGAACATCATATGCCACTCTCTCCATGGAGACCATATTACTACTACAAACTTCTAGAAAATGCTTAAAAATATTGAAAGGACAATTTTATAAATATGCATTTATAGGTTAGAGAACATTCATATTATAAATAAACTATTTGTTATCTTGGAAAATATTAGAATGTCACATACATTTAGACGACTATTTAAATATTCCCCACTAGAAAAATACACTTATTTTTGTGAACCTGATTCTCTAACATTGGTGTACGCTTGAGAGAGCTATTTTGAAGAATAAAAGTGGTTTCAGCCGAAACCGGTTTGGCTCAGTGGATAGAGCGTCGGCCTGCGGACTGAAAGGTCCCAGGTTCGATTCTGGTCAAGGGCATGTACCTGGGTTGCGGGCACATCCCCAGTAGGAGATGTGCAGGAGGCAGCTGATCGATGTTTCTCTCTCATCGATGTTTCTAACTCTCTATCTCTCTCCCTTCCTCTCTGTAAAAAATCAATAAAATATATTTTTTAAGAAAAAGTGGTTTCAAATTGAATATTGTGTGGGGGCTCTAAGAGTCTGGCCAGAATGCTTCAAGAGTTGGCCTGACGTAATGAGTGGCTATTTTGGTGTCTAGACAATACCCACTGCCCTCCATTGGCCTGAAGTTTCCAGGAAACCAGACAACCACTCTTCCCTGCTCTGGACCTGGCCAAAGGGCAAAGAAAATTCACAGAGAGAAGGCTTGTCTTCAATAAAACTAAGATTTTCTGTACCTATGGAGCATCCCATTCCAATCCTGCCAAATCTCCATCCCATGCCCCTCCACCAACACTTACTACAGAAGAAGGAATGCTTTCTGTGGTGCTGCTTCTCCTGTCATCTCCTAAAGTATAAGATGATGAAGGTCCACACTCACAGGGAGCCCCTTAGCCTGTCCATCACATCCCAAATTTTGTAATACAGTGAGGGGCTGTTTATCAGGAGGAAAGCCCCTTCACTTACATTATACATCCGTTCAGGGATAAAGCCATGGTCTCGGAGGCCCATAAGAAAAGGAAATGGCTTCGTTATTGCAGTTGCAATCTCCACCTTATTTTCCTTGAAGAGCCTAAAAATGAACTCATAGAAAACCTGCTCTTTTGGATTCTGGTCCTCTGGGCTCTGGTCCCTGAGAAACAAAGACACGATGTAAAAACAGACATTGGGTTTCTTTTTTATTTTTAAATTTAAATTATTTATTGTTGAAAGTATTACATATGTCTCCTTTTTCCACCATTGACCTCTCCCTGGCCACTCCCACCCCTCCCCAACCCCCCAGCACATGCCCTCATCCCCCTAATCTATGTCCATTGGTTATGCTTATATGCATGCATACAAGTCCTTTGGTTGATATCTTACCTCCCTAGATATTGGGTTTCTAGGAGGCTTGTGGTGGGCTAGAAGATTTTAGACTTGAAAGATAGTTAATGGAGAGCCAACACATGTAAAATAGTGTTCTTGTGAAGAGACCAGAATAAATGGAATTTACTTATTTAGAGAATAATCAAAGCTGCAATAGAAGAAAACACTGAGCTTAAGAGAGACTTGTATATAGAAAAGTGAAAGAGTTCACCCTGTGCCAATCAAAACTACTACAAAAAGACTTTCACCTGAACCCTCTACAGAAGACAAGGAATTTTTTAAAAGTTAAACTTTTTACAGAAATTAATATGATATTGTAATGTGCTGGAGGCTAAGACCAGCAGGTCATAATTATGCAAGAAGTCCTTCAGAAGGCTGATGGACCTTGGGACTTTGATATTCAGCAGGACTGAAAATCTGCATATTATTACCTGTGGCTGGCTGAACAGCTGAAGGTAATTCCCCTAACCTGATAATTCTTTATTGTTTAGCAAACCTTACCATTGATGTGTGTTTGCTTTGCTAAAGGGCAAATGTGTATTCCAGTAAATAAAAAGCTGTGGGTCCAGAGATCCAGTGAGCTTCTCCACTAGAAGCTTCTCCACTGGCTTCCCCCAATGTCTTCCAAATTTATATTTCTTGTCTAGTCTCTTCATTTTTGTCGCAGCCCCTTCTCCAGATTCCTGAACCCTTGCTGCAACAGGTTGCGGCAGTAATGGTTGATTTTACAAGTCAACTAGGAGAATATTTGGGGACAAGACTAACATTTAAGTTGGTAAACTTTGTATAAGCAGTTTGTCCTCCCTAATGTGGGTTGGCCTCATCCAATCAGCTGAAAGCATGAATAGAACCAAAAGACCAGCCTCCCTGGGTAAGAAGAAATCCTCCAGCACAACTGCTTTCAGATGGAAATGCACTATCAGCTCTTGGGGTCTCCAGCTTACTGACCCACACTGAATATTTTGGATTTGCCAGCCTCCATATCGTGTGAGCCAACTCCTTGTAATACATATTTCAAATCTCTCTCTCTCTCTCTCTCTCTCTCTCTCTCTCTCTCTCTCAGAAAATGGTGACTAATACAAATATAAAACAAAAAAGGTTATAAAAATTTTAAAACTGTGAACAACCAAAAAGGGGGGAGGGGGGTTCTATGGAAAGCCACCTCATAGGATGATCTGAACATAAATTCCTACTGGGCAAATCATGGTGAATAGTCATGCCCAAGACATATAATTTCTTTACTAAAAAGTTTATCTTTGCCTTAAGCAAGCCCTGTCTATTGTTTCTGTGTTCAAAGGTTAACATACTTTGAAATACCAGAATAATACTCTTTTCAGATCCTTAAGAGGTATATCTACCTTAAAAAGTACATATAAAAGTATGCTTAGAGGTATAACTACTCAAGAGAGCAAATGGTCTTGTTGCCTGTATACCACCCTCATTCACTGTAAATGTTAAATGTTAACTATCTTACATCCACCAATGTAAAAGAAGTATATCTCTCCATTTTACATTTTACTCAGTCATATGGATTTCCCATCTTGCTTTCTCTGTCTCCTTAATCTATCAACAATGGACATCATGCACTCTTCCTTCCTCCTTTGATTTCAAATGTACAAAAATAAATGAAGGCTGCAAAACTGCCATTCTCTGAGAATATTATTAATTAGTTAAGAGCTTGCTTCTGGGCACGTCCTCAATTTGGGTCAAATAAACTCTAATAAGGTGCTGTATAGCCTTGCACATTCTTACATTGACAATATCCTGGGACTGTGCAAGACCTTTTCACGTGTCATCAAAGTAAAAACTGTTTTCAGCCCTATCAGGTATGGTTCAGTGGATAGAGCATCCACCTGTGAACGGAAGGGTCCTGGGTTCAATTCTGGTCAAGGGCATGTACCTTGGTTGCAGGCTCCTCCCTGACCCTGGTCCAGGCTCGTGCAGAAGGCAACCAATCGATGTGTTTCTCTCATATCAATATTTCTCTCTGTCTTTCCCTCTCTCTTCCACTCTCTATAAAAAATCAATGGAAAATACCCTTGGATGAGGATTAAAAACAAAACTGTTTTCACAATAATACAAATATATATTTACCCTTCTTGTCTCTCACACTCTGACAAATGTCAAGTGGAATTTTCCAGAGAATACATGGCCTATGATAACACAACAGATTGAATTCAGAAACAGACAGTAAAATCTGTCTTCCACTGAACTAGCTACTAAAGAGACTTGTAAAAGTGTAAAACATTGCTATCTTTTAAATAAAATTTATTTTATTTTGAAAAACATACTTTCATAAAATGTGCCATTTTCATAAAATATGTTATTTATGTTAGCAGATAATGAGTTCATTACTATTTTTAATGAATAAATAAATATGTTTAAGTGTTCAGAGTTTTAATTTCTATGTGATAAATATCAATGGTTATAACCCACATGAACAAAAGCTAGCTCCTTAGGGCTCTCAGTGATATGGAAGTATACACAGGGATCTTGAATCCAAAGAATTTGAGAAGCACTGTTCTAGAAAGAGAGAATATAATAGTAAAATCATAATAATTTTAATGTAAAACATCAGATTATATTTAAAAATTTTAATTGAATGGGGCAATTAAAAAATTCAGTTAAATGACTTATTTCAAACCATAGTAAACTCAAATGCTATGGTTCACATTTGATGCTATCAATTAGAGAAATATATATCTGAGAATTAATTAGAAAACTTAAGGGTAACAAATAGCACCAAAAATGAGACTATAAGTCTTACAAAAAATAAAAGTAAAGAAGCCCTAGCTGATTTGTCTCAGTGGCTAGAGCGTCAGCCTGCAGACTGAAGGATCAATGTTTGATTCTGGTCAGGGATAGGTATCTCAGCTGCAGGCTCAATCCTTAGCCACAGTCGGAGTGCTTGGGGTGCGTGGGGGGAGGCAACTAATCAATGTGTCTCTCTCTGTCTCTCCCCTCCCTTCCACTTTCTCTAAAAATCAATGGAAAAATATCCTCAGGTGAGGATTAACAACAACAACAGAAATAGTGAAGGAAATATACTCTGTTGTTTTTAATCAGAAAAAAACAAAGAAGCATAAGATATAAAAAGTGCAAAACATTTATAAGCAGGGAGATATATGTCATTTAAAATAGATTAAATTACCATCTTAAAGTACAATGGCCAAAATAGAATCTAACTAGAAAAGATGCAACAAAAACAAAGTGACATTAAAAATTTTAAACTGAAAAAGATGGGCAAGTCACATTAGACAAATGCAAACAAGATTGAAAGCAAAATTAACAATATTTATATTTTCAAAGTAAAATTTAAGACCACGAATGGACAAATTTTTCATGGTGATTAAAAACCACTTTACATTCTATCCTTAACTCCTAAAGTATTTACACACACACACACACAGACACACACACACACACGATATGTTTTACAAATTAGAAAAATATATTTATATCAATTATTTGGCCTTGAATTAAGCGAAATAAATAATACGAAGAAAATGAACAGTTACATGTTCTGGCTATAAGATCATATTACAACAAGATCTAATTTTAAAACAAAAAGAATATTTTTTAAAAGAAAAAAAACTAAACATGGAGATTTTAAAAGTACACTAGCCTTTTGGTTTCAGCCCTGACATGCAAATACTTTGGAAGTCATCGCTGTCATCCTCATGGAAAGAAAAAGTCAACAAACTAAAAATCAATGACTCGTCATGTACCTAGCAGAAAATCGAGGTCACAGGGCAAACTGCCACCCCCAAATCTGTATTGAATGCAAATTTGGAGAATCACATATAACATCAGCTGCCTGAACCAGAAGTAAATAGATCCATAAACCAAAGAAACTCTTAAATGGTAAATTTGATGAATTGCTGGAGACTGACTATTGACTTATATGACAGTGAGAACCTTTTGTCAGTTTTACCCCCAGGAACCTCACCAGTTATTCTTGGCGAAGTGCTAAGAAAAATCCCCTGAGTTTCTGGCATGAGGATGAAAAAACAAAACCTTTGAAACAACCAGAGCATTCTCCATAACAAAGGCCTACTCTCCAGGGAAAACACTTTACCCAGGCTTATCTGACCTAGGGGAAGGGCAGTTTCCAAAATTAAGACCTTCCTAGCCTTTCAGTATCATCCAAATGATGCATGGTAAAGGGATACAGTTATAAAATCATTCTAAAATGTACAGTCCAGGGACACAGTTCCACTAAAAGACTGAGATTTAATCATAACATTATAGAATGCTTTCCCTCCCAGCACCTTACTGCTACACCAATAGGGTTCCAGTAAATAACTGGATTACAGCTGAAAAGGCTGCAAGGCCAGATTTAAGAAAGAGTTCCCAGAGAATAAAAATTTTTAAAAGTAGGAGAGACAACAACAAGAACACTGGAAGACTTTGAAGCCTCTGCCTCTGACAGTTGGAACAAATATTAACCACGACCCATTTGCTAGCCAAATGTAACATAAAACCTCAAATTAGTCACTTATTTGCCTTAGTTCCTATTACCTGATACATCACATCTTGCTTTCAAAAAAATTATAAGGCATGCAAAAGTCTGAAAAGACAAAGAAATCATCAAAACCAGACTCAGAGATGAAAGGTTTTCAAATTATCGAACAAGAATTTAAAATATCTATGGCTTATTAAAATGTTAAGAGCTTTAATGGAAAAAGCAAACAACATGCAAGAGCAGAGGGTGAAGTAAGCAGAGATGGAAACTCAAAGATATAATAAAAAAGAAAATGCTAGGAA